ACGCTCTCACAATATAGATACATCTGTATGTATATACATATATTATATTATATATATGCATATTTCAAAAACTTCTGTTTTTTTTTAACATTTCCGCATGGTGTGTGATAAAGAATTCTATTTTATTACCAACATGATGGGTGGACACACGGTGATACTGAAGTCAGCACCAGTTTATCAACAACGCGGCTTTTGTGCATGCGCAATCAGCGTGATATTCTGTAACTCTCAAAAAATATTAAAAATCCGTCCCATGTAGCGAATTTTTTCTTTTCTTTCTTGTTTTTTTTTTCTGATTTTTTTTATTGTTTAATTGTTCTTTGCTCGTAAATACAGCTGTTGTCCTTGATGCCACGATCATTTGCAGTAGGCGTTCAACGACTGTATTGTAGGTATCAATATGCAAATACATACTTACATATATAACTAGTTATATACATGCCTACACATTGTTATTAATCTATAATTAGTTTCAATCACTTACACCATATGTTTCTTGTGATACTTACGTTTTTAGTCAATAAATTGTTGCAGCCATGGATTTTTTCCTTTCTTCATATCAGTTGCTGTCTCAAACTACAAGATGCAAAAAATTATTTAACAAAATGATTCGTATGCCACAACATGACATTTAAGCGAAGAATTTTAAATTATTTTTTTATTTCGGAACAACGAAGCGCCCTGAATTTGGAATTATGCAAAAGGCCTATTGTGCCAAAATGGGTTCTTCTACCGGAAATAGTACATTGGACTCTAGTAAGGTGGCCGCCACTAAAGAGGAAGTGCCTCTAGAACGAGTGCAACCTACCTGTTTACTAGGTGCAGCAGGAGCTATTAAACTACCCCAAAAAAGGCCTTGGAAGTCATCCTTGATATCAGGCCAATTAACATACAAGTGACTTATGAAGCAGCACTAACAGTACACCGCTTAAATGTGGTAGATAGTTGGGTCTAGCCAACTGTAAAGGACAATGCGGCGTACAGAAAATTATCAGAGGTGAAAGCCACTTTGGGTCCAAATGCGAGGTATGCACAGGAGTAGGGTTCTTCTGCGACCACTCCTATAAACAAGGTAGCTTCAACCAAATGACTACAACTCTGTTTTCCAAACGGAAATTGTGGGCGTTACTGAAAGCGCCAAATGGTCAACCGTTTAAATAGGGGGTCTTTCAGATTTCTTAATTTCTTGTGTTTAATATAAAGTCTTAAGTATACGAGAATATGCTAAGAGGCAATAAACAGACTATCACTCGTTAACCCATTGAATACCCGTCCCAGGTCACATGAATTTAGAAACAATTTATTAACTCGAGTTAAGCAGGCGAGCACAATAAGCCTACTCAATGGCTTACAGCGGTCAGGTTCCAAACCTCCCCTTTCAACCAACCAACCAACGGATTTTAAATTAAAATTAAAGTTTTTGAAGTAAGCAAAAAAATTATAGCGTTGCCAAACTACTTACAGCAAACTTAGCACAAGTACTCGATGATTATTGTTATCGATATAAATGAGATGTCATTGCATAGCGTTCACCTTTTTCTGCTTTTATTAAAAGTTATTGCACTATCCCTAATATTTATTAAACGCAATGCCCTTCACGCTAGTAACAATTATTTGTCGGTCATTAAACCTATTTTAAGAGTCAGCGTCATAACTGAACTGAAATGGAAAATATGTGCTTAATTATCACAAATGTCGACGCCTCAGCTGATTGCTATTACGGTTGGACAGGTGAGGCGCATTTACTTTTCTAGGTGTGTAGCGTCTGTTTACATATCAGTTAAATGCGAAAATCGTCATGTGCTCAATTTATCCAAAGCGGCATTGTGCTGCATTAGGGAAAAATATGAAATGGTGAAATTTTAGTGATAATATCTGCGCATTTAGGTTTAATTACGACAAATTTGCATGATGTGTATTTTATTAAAGTTTGCAGATAATAAGAGGAAAGGTTCCATTAGGAAATAAATGTAAATTTTTTAGTAAAAATATTTTTTTTTTTTTTAATTTTCTATGAATTCGGTTACTCGGGAAAAATATTTATGGTTTGAAATACCAACCACCAAACCAATACAGAGGCACCTATTTTTTTATTAAAAAATATTAATTTTTTTTTGCAAAATAATAGGAGGAAACTAAATTTTTCAGAAGGATACCACACCCTTTATTTAGGAAAGTGGTTTAATTTTTCAAATATTTACGGCAATGTTTGCTTTCATATTCCCCTAAATGGGTTAATGAAAAACATATATTGCAATAATTATTTACTTAAATAGCTGCCTTTACGACTTGTCTATTTTCAGTAGTCTGACTAATTTTTCTTTTGTAAATTAAAAACATATTTACTTGTCTGCCCAATTAGCCTGCGGCACTAATATCTGCAGACGTCGTCTGCCTTTTTATCCTGTCTATACGCCTTCCTGTCCAACTGCAATACATTATTACCTTTTCGCCGATTTCCTTTGTTTGTCATTGAAATGTGCATTTACTGTCGACCGGAGACGAAAAGAGCGACAGGCAGATGGTGCTTTCTATCTTCTTCAGAAATGTGCAGTTTCTGTATGATTTGGATTTCATGCGCACATACATACATACAATACAACGCACATGTACATTTATGATGTATGTAGGTATGCATTTTTTGTAGAATTTTCCACCGCATGTGTCATTTTACTGTGTTTTTATTTCTCTATTTACTTATTTACATTGCACACACCTCTTCAATTCATTTTGTTTTCCAATTTATTTAAAATTTTTTATTGATTGTTTGTACATGTCATATTTACTTTGAATATTCACTTTTTCAATTAAAAGTTGTGATTTTTTGTATTTGCGAATAATAATATTTACTTTACTATTGAATGTTTCAAATGGATATTGTTATCAACAGTTGAGATTTTAAACTGTCTTATGAGTACGGTTTTATCGAATTTGAATGATGTCAAAATTAAATCGAACTGCCAGCTGAGTGTCTATTTACTGATTGGATATCAGCTGATTGTTATTTATTTTCGGATTTCAAAAGCAATTAAGGAAAGTAAATACTTTTCGTTGTTATTGGTTAAACACTACGGGAAATAAATGAAGAATTCAATTTAAATTTAACAAGAAGCATTGTGCTTTGAAGCAAGCCAAAAAAGCCGCTCTTGTTTAAACGGTGTATAAAAAACGCTTGGAATTTGCTAAGAAGTATCTGAGCGGGGAGCTAAGGTTTCGGAAGAATGTACCAAGACCAAAGAAAAAAAAAGATAGGTTGAATACAGCCTGCTGGAAAAAGGACAATTCAGGGTTTAAGTGAGCAAGATTCGAGTCCAAAGAACACCTAAGTGTAATTATGATTTGAGGTTATGGATTAGTACAAATTATGCGAATAAATTTGAAAAAAAAAAATGGACAAATATGTGAAACCAAATGAAATTGAAATCTTGTTTATTATAAGAATCCTAAGCATACTGCGACGGTCATAAGGAACATTATTTAGGCTTTGCTCTGGGTTTCGCAGGGCACAAAACTCCAACCAAACGAGAATTGATGGAACGATGACAAAAATATCAGCCGGAAATGCCAAAAGCAAGCCGCCAATGCAGCGTGGTACAGCATACCAAATAATAAAGCTGTGATTAAAAATCATGAATATAGTACAAAATACTGTGCCTTAAATATTATATTTACAAATTTTGGAATATATGTATGCTTATTCCTCCGTGGCCAAGCCATTTTATAGTTTATTGGTTTTCATTGAATTCTTATTAATTTATTTCTAATTTTTTTTTCTTTTTTTTTTTCTTCTTTTTTTTTATAAATGTTAAATATTAATAAGCAAGTCAAAGAAGATTTTTTTTTAAACTATCTTTTTGAAAAAAAAAAGAAGATCCTTTGTGTGGTCACGGCTGTATGCATACTTATGGATATACATTCATATATATTGACTTTAAATTTCAAAATAAAAAAAAACCATAGAAATTAGCTAATTATTGAGTATACAGTCCATACAATTTAGTATGAATTGTGCAAAGTTTTTTATCGTTTTTTTTGTGTTTCTTTTATTACATGACTTAAATTGTCGTTTCATTATCTACTCAGCCCCTTAAGATATCATGTTACCTTATTTTCCGCCGTTGTATACAAATGTAAGGATAAAAAAATCGCGTTTGTTTACTGCTTCACATATGTACATATGTATGAATGAATTTACAATATGTATATTTATATGCAATTGCGTCGTTATGTTTTAATTTGTAAGAGTACCCACAACAAAATTCTTCCTGCTCATTTTTTTTTCGTCAATGAGTATTTTACTACACTCTACAAATGTATAAACTTTTTTCTGCTGTGTCTATTTCTCTCTTTATATTATCCAATTTTATTATTGTTGATACCCTACCAATACCTGCATACCAATTTGTTTGCATAGGTACTTGCGTAAATATTAGTTAGTCATCCAGGCGTGTCAGTAGTCAGTGGCTACTGATTCTCTTTGTTCTGAAAAACAATAATACCAACACAAACAATAATAATATATATGTATGTATGTAGATATATGTACATATATTTATATGTATATAGATTTGTTTATATGCCCCTATGTAGATAGCTTGTGCAAACTGAGGCTCGTCTTGAGTCGTTACGATAAGCTTCATTGGTGTTACTGCACTCGCTATTGTACGGCCAGTGTCAGCAAGTAAACCGACGATTCAGTCAGTTGGAGAATTTATTGCAGTGCAGCTGTCGATATTACTGTGCATCTACAATATTTACATACACACAACTTTAAAATTCATACAAAGAACACTTTTTGTCTTTTATTTTCGGATTTTCACAAATTCTTTGTTACCAGATTGAATTTCTTTGTTAGGTGTAAGTACAAAGACAATTACCAGGTTTTGTTTTTATCTAAATTGTATTTATTTGTTGTTTGTAATTTGTTAAGTGAAATTTTTCGGCTATAAAAAATAATTTTTTACTAATTTCCTTATTTTTTTTTTTCTTTTTTTTTACAGAATCTTGGATTGAGCTAAGTAGCGCAGCTACAATGGCCGGTGTTAAGAGCCCTGACAGAATCACACCATTACCCTTCAACAGTGGCGAAGAGTATATACGCTTGCTGCGTGAAGCGCAACGCGAATCAAATCAATCCAGTCGCGTTGTCTCATTGGCCAGTTCGCGACGTGATACACCCAGGGATAGGTAGGTGCACAAACAATATATTAACCGCATCAATATTTTTGAATTGTCTTTTTAGCCCAAAATCACCACCTAACAGTCCAAATACCGAACTCACACCTGATGAAGATCTCAAAAATGTTTACATAAATTATTGGAATAAGGTTGGTAGTGCCCTCGTCGAAAGAAAACATTGTGAAATTAATAATGAAATAACTATTCTTTCTTTAAGGAGGCCGATAGTCACAAAGAAACCGATTGGCTAGATGAATGGAATAGCCGACCGGACCAACAACCACCAAAGTATGTGAACAACTTAACTTGATATATTTTCATATATAATTCACAAAGTTAATTAGACAAAAATGCTAAATATTTGTATTAGAAAGTAGTAAAGTACAAAAATAAAATAAAATACATATTGATTTTGTTTAAAAGCAAATGTAAAATTAAATATTTTTTGATTTTCAGAGATTGGAAATTTGAACACCCACAGAAGAAGAAGAGCTCTGGCTACTCTATACGTTTGGCCCGTGTTGGCAAGAACTCGCTCTTCTCCAGAGAAATACTATACTCGCTCATTATATCCAACGTGCTATCTTTGCTATTGGGCGCCGGACTGGGGTAAGAAGTTTGCAAATTTATTTTTATTTTTATATAATGTAAATTGAGTTGCTTATTAACAACTATATTTTTTCTCTGCATTTTTCAGTTTATGGCTCAGCAAACGTGGCATCCTCTTGACCCGAGTTGTCATTGACTGAACCGAATGTTAAAGAAAAGTGATTTATATACATATTATACTAATATTATTATTTTAATCGATGCAGTATGCAAAACAAAAACAAAAGAAGCGAAAATAAAATTAAACAAAAATATACATACATATTTTTATAAATATGAAATGCAAAAATGTAAAACAAGGTAAAAACAGAATGCAATTAAATTTGAAAGAAAAAAAATGAAGAAACCCGTCAGAGTACCATAAAACAATAAACCTTATCAGTCCTGGTGTTATATAAAGCCAAGTTTAAAAAATAAAAGTAAATTTGCAACAGGACAATGTGGAAGATAATCAATTCATCTTTCAAACAGGCTTGACTTCATAAATATGTATTCCATAAAAAAATGCATATGTACATTTATACACTTATTCAAACATGCAATACAAAGATATTTGTGCAGACACACATACCATCTAAGCATATTTGAGTATTGGGTGTGCGTATTTATGATAATCAGCCAGCCAATATAAAAGCGAATTACATTTGAATTAAGCAGTTTTTATTGAAAATAAAGAAAGAAAAAATGTTTGCGTTCATAAAATCTACATATGTATGTATGCGAAAAAGGTATATTGTCATAAATGCGTACATACATATATGCACATTCATTTGGCAAACAAACAAACTTAACTTTATGAAACGTACGACACAAGCGTTGGCTCAGGTCTTTTATTATTATATTCTCCCGGAAAAAAAGTTAAAAACTTAAATGCGATTAAATATTCTTACGAAAATGCTTTATACATATATCTTTTTTACCAATTTTTTTTAATAAAAAATATCTTAACTATTTTAATATATAAATACATATGTATTTTAATATATTTATGAAGATATTGAAAACTGAATGTAAGAATGGAATGGCTTTAGCTATTTAGATTTAATGTATTTTGGTAGTAAAAATGATAAACAAAAAAGTTTGTATTCATATAATCATTTCTTGTCATATAACAAAATCGGTTATACCATTTTTAGCCAGCTCTTGGTAGGAAAAGCGATGAAAATGTTTTGTCAACAGACTAAAGAAAATCCTTAAACATTTGTTGTTCTTTTACCTTAAGGTGTTTAATTTTCATAAACTTTCTAATAACTAATTTGTATTGAACTTTTATGTATTTTAACTTTTCATAACTACGATTGTAGTAAATTTGGTACTCGTCTTCATCGAGCTTACCAGTACCACCAGAACGCGTTTGTTTTTTCTAGCTTTTAGTCTAATTAATATGTGAGGTTATAACCTCAACGACATTTGCATACATATACCTATATCATTACATTATTATATATTTATCCAATAAACAAGGAATACTTGCATAATTTTAATTTTAAAACTTTTGAAAATATTACCATTGAATTTAATAATAATCAAACATACATACGAATTCGAAAATAGCGTACAGTTACGCATATGTATTTCCCTTTCCCTATATACAATACCTACATATAACTATATAAATAATATATTATATTTACCTAACTATGTATATGCATAATTATATTATTATTAAATATATCATAGACCTTTTTGATAAAGTAAAGAAACGATAAATGGAAAAAAATATGAGAAATGCAATAAAAAATAAATAAAATAAATACTAATTTAGTGAAATGAAAAAAGTTAGTGGTTTTATTTTTAATGAAGGATAAATCGTTTATTTTATTTATTTTTTCAAGTCTTACACTTATTTTAAACTAAATTCTTGCTAACCTAACTTCTGTTAAAACAAAATAAATAGATTGTAAAATCTCGCCACCATGGTATGCGCACTATCGCGTCTTTAAGAAAAGTTCATAAGTTTCTAGATCACTCTTAGCGACATTTCGCACAAAATGGTAGTCGTTTCCACTGACCAAATCTTTTGGCGAAGTATATAAATCTTTCTCTGGGTCGTATTGAGCTCGACCTAGTGTGGCGAGGAACTCATGCCGTTGGCGTAAGCGAAATTCACGTGATGTTAGCACTTCTGGAAACTGTATTAGCAAGTCATGTGAGAGCCCCATTGTTTGGTGAGCATAAGCGAAGCGTTCAATAAGTTCATCTGAATCTGTAAAATTAAGTTTAGATATAAGTATATTTTATTTAAAATGATGAAATGTATAAGTATTGTAACCCTTACTAATCATCCATAAACGCGGCTTACTCAGCAGCAGGCATTTTATTTCATCTTTATCAAATCCCATTTCTTCTCTTATACAAAATGACGCTTTACGTATGTGATCCATGTTATATGTTATCAAACGCGGTTGTTTAGATGCCAAGAACCGTACGTCATCACCATTTAGATGAAACTCTTTTTGGAAATGTCCTAATCTTTTGTCGATGCGATGTGTAGAGAACATTAACCAAAATGGATTATATGTGAATATGCGTTGTCGTTGAACTGCCGTAAATTTTTTGGATTCCAAGTAGTTAACACGTGTTTGTAAATCATCTAAATCTATTTTGAAGATCAAGGGGTTTTTTGTAATTAATTCACCAAATGATTCAGCCGGTACGCCTTGATCTTGCAGGAAGTAAAGGTACGGTTGCACATCCTTCTCAAAATCCAAGCCCAGCGTGAATTTTGCCAAACCCTTACGTCTTTCTATGCTATGCAAATCAACGCCAAGTTGTAAAAACTTTTGTAGCGTAGGAGATTTGTTTACATAAGCAGCTAAATTGAAAGTAGGTACATAATCTTTTTTAGCCTCACCAACGTCGAGCAATTGGTCGTCAATTTCTTCATCGTTAGCAGGTAAATGTGAACTGTGGGTGGCATTGGTTTGAATTGTGGGAACATCAATATTCTCCTTGTTTTCAATGTGTCGCAGTTCATTTTTTAAATATTTATTTACTGCTTCCGTAATACCCGTGTTAACACGCTGCTCAGTACGCGTTGGTTGCGCTAGTTTCTCGACATGATCGGTGTGCTCTTCTTTAGTTGTGAGAGATTCTACTCGTTGTCGCGTTTGATTGCGTAAAGAACGGATATTTTTTGGCAAATAATTTGGTATGTTCGCATCTGTTTTCGTAACTTTTGTTATAAAACGTAAATTTCGTAATATTATCATTTTGCTTCAATTAATCAAAACAATAATCAGCTGCTTTTGCCATTTGAAGTACATGTGCATATTTTTAAATTGCATTTACAGTGTTGCAATGAAAGGCAGTATACCGACTTTCACATTCGATATGTAAATTAATATTTTACTAAATTATGAAAGAATAACTTGTAACAAAGTATTTGAAAAAAGGGGAGGCTGAAGAGATTTAAAGAACAAATCTTTTATTTAAAACCATTTACAAAATATTACAATTATTATAAATATACTTCAATATGTGCAACTCTGTCAATGACATTTCACTCGCTCACACATATGTTAAGTTATGTCGAGTGACAATCCAATCAGAAGCGATTGTTTCTCTTCCGCAAATTCATTTTTGTTGCATATTTATATTCGGTTATTTCTGTTATTTTACTTTTATCTGGAAGTTTTTGCATTGTGTAGGAGTTCAAAGGATTTTATTTATAAATTAAATATATTTTGGCCTTCAAAAAAAAAAAAACACAATTAATATGGATAAATTACGACGTGTACTCAATGGAAATGATTCCACCCCAGAAGAGGAGAGCAGTATTATTACACAGGTAAATCACAATATTTCTATGTTAAATATTTATATGTAAACAATTAATAATGTAAATACCTAAAGTTTAGCTTAAATTGTATGTTTGAGGGAACACAACATGCTGAGAAGCAGAAGAAAGCTATAGAAAAGCATGAAAATTCAATGTATCTATTACTTGTGGCAGCTGCTGCTGACTCAACAAGTGGCAGCGGGTTTTTGGTATGTTTGGTATTGGGGGAGTAGCAAATATGTATGTTCTACGTTGTTATTGTAGTGTATGCCTACAAGGATTTATATTAAAAAAAAGATGTAGCTAACAGCCTGGGAAGTTATAAACTAGCTTTTAAATAAGTGGGCGTTTTCGTTTTGGTTGCTACATATGAGAGAAAAATGTTGCCACGGTGCAATTGGCGTTTGTGATATTTTTATGTTCCAATATTCAAGTTTTGCATTTTTTTAAATTATATTTAATTATTATTTTTTTTCACTTTCAAACTATAATATTTATCACTGTTATATTGTAGATTAATGAGATGTCTACACTCAGCTGGTCGACTCGCATCAAAGGCTTCTGCATTTGCTTTGTGCTTGGCATCGTACTTTCGTTTCTCGGCTCATTGGCCCTCTTCCTGCACCGCGTTGTGGTATTTGCGGTCTTCTATACGGTTGGAAATATAATATCAATGGCGAGGTATGATTATAGATAAGCTAATTACAATATAAATGCATTTTAAAAAATACATATATGTGTACATACAAATATATGTACCATGTATTATCAATCTTTTATTACAGTACTTGCTTTCTTATGGGGCCAGTTAATCAAATCAAAAAAATGTTCTCATCCACACGTTTAATAGCCACTTGCATTGTGCTTGTATCTATTGTTATGACTTTTATAGCTGCTGTTGTGGTATATTTGTTATTATATTTTCATTTTTATTTTAAATTCAAAATTGATTTTTTTTAATATGCCCTTTTTATTTTTTGCATAAACCACACAGCTCCATAAAGCCGGCCTGACTTTAATTTTTATCATCATTCAATCATTAGCAATGACCTGGTATTCACTCTCCTACATCCCATATGCTCGCGATGCCGTTAAGAAAACCGTATCAGCTTGCATTGATGCGTAAAAACAGCAAGTTGTATTATGCTAGAACATGTGTGTTGCTGTGTTTGCACCATAGTAGTCTACTATTGTTTATATACATTTACGTAATTTTCATCCACTCAATTTGCTAGCATACCTATACTAAGTTATTTCTTTGTCTTATTAATTCAATTGTAATAAGTACTATTTCCAATTGATTTTAAATAACCTGTTATTCCACATTTAAAACTAATGTTAACATTTTTTAGTATAAAAAATTTAAATCTACATTTGTTAAAGTGATAAATTAGTGTATTTCTCATACTGGTATATAGATATTATCATAAAAAAACATAATTAATAACAAAAACAAATGCTCAGTAAAGAATCAAAATTAGCATTTTCATTATAGGATGCTCTCTGTGTGACAAACATTTGACTATTAAAATTTAAATTTGTAAAACATGAAAAAATAAAAAAAAATTTTAGACTTCTGTTTTTTTTTTTCAAAATTTGTAATAGACAAAAAATATAAATAATAGATGTATGAACGTTTTTAACTATTATTTAAATAGTAATCTGTAGTCGAAACACTTTGCTTAACGAACCATACATATATATGTAAGCAAATAAGACAAATAACTAAAGTATTTCCATACACATCTATATGTACTTCATAATTTTACGTTGTATGTGCATCTTAAAACCGTAAGGTAAAAAAAGAAAACAAAAATAAGAAATAATATGACAATTGGCTTACCATATAAAGCTATACCAATTTCTTTAAAAAACTTCACTGATATTTACAAATTGCTTTATTTATAAAAATGTATGTATATTTTTGATAAATCTAGTTGTATTAATTATAATAAAGACAAATTAAAACAAAACTTAAAATATTTCATTGACTTTTTGAAGCTTACACGAACGAGCAATAAAAGTTGAGTGACTCATGTAGTTGTAGCAGCTTAAACTCTTCCCAAATGTTTTTGGAGATTCGGTTGGTCTGAGAAAAAAACCTTATTTATTTTGAATAAAAAAACAACAAAGGCTTTTGAAAACATGTTCACCACCTCACGTATCTTTAAAATATAAAAAAAAAACCATTCAAAAACCTCTCAAACAATTAAATACATTTTTATGTTTAATAAATATTTCTTTTTTATTTTAATTCAAAAAAATTAACATATATAAGCTTAAAATATCAGACTAAATCATTTATAAATATGCATTTTAACATATTTAACCATTTTTCAATCAAAATAATTTTTATATGAATTTTCAAAGGAAGTACAAACGCATAAACTTTAACTGAGAAAAACTTTGGCTACAGTATACCCGTATATATGTACATCTTCATACATGCTTGATTTCATAATATATGAAATCAAATCTTGAATTTTTAACCTAACGCACTATGCTAACAAACAAAAAGTTATTAAATAAAAATGTGCGACTCTTTGTTATATTGATTTTCATTTGGAGCTAAAATAAAAAAAAAAAATGTTTTATAGCAAGTGCAAATTGGACTTTAGTTGAAGGATTTTCATTACATTTTTTATTTTAATTTAGGTTAAATCTAAAAGCCCATGAAATTCAGCTTTTGCTTAAAGTCGTTTATTGCTTGCTGAAGCGTTTTTGTTTAGTACTTTCTACAATTTAAATATGTAGTAGAAAGCATGTGCAGCTTCCTGTTTTAGAAGATGAATTCCTAAAAGTATGCAACAAATTTCAATAAAGTAGGAAAATGCGAATTCCTTGCGGTTTCGATTTTTTGAAAGGTTGATGTCCAATTAAATGTTTTCTGTGGCATTTTTTTTAAACATTTGTGACAATAATTACATATTTATACTTGTATATCTATGCACATGTAGGTTGCAGATTGTAATTTAATTTTGTTCACAAGACGTTTTCTATAGTCTATTATTATTAATATTATTTTTTTGTTAAGTCGCTTTAAAATTACCTTAGAACATTTTGAATTATGTATGTTATGAAATTATACATCCAAAACTAATAAGTTTCTTAAATTTATATCTGGTGTTATTGTTTTATTCAAAAATATAGGTAATAATTAAAAGCAAAAAAAAAACGCTTTTACAGTTAGTTCTGTTTGTGGGAAATACACCCATTATTTGAAGCTTTACTATATATGTATGCACCAAATTTAGTGAAGCCGAAATTATTAAATGATTTGTATATATATAAAATCGTTTTTTTTTTCCTTACTAAATTTTTGCATTATTTTTAAACTGTTTTGGATTTTTTTTACAAGTTTTCTAAAGTTTTTGTTATTATTTTTTGTATTACTTTCTATTTATGTATAATTAATTACCTTTCTAATTATGAAATTTCTGTGGGTCATTTTATATTTAGTTTGTCTTAAGATTATTTTGTCTTTTTAAAGCGTATTTCACTTTTGAGTACAGTTATTTTTTTGCCATTCTGAAGTGTTGAAATTGTTTTATCATTCTAAAGTTTTAAAACACGCTTAAAATTCAACCAATTTATTTGCAATGCATGTACCAAAAATTTTGTTTTAATAAATTTTGTTAAGGCTTTTTATAAACAAAAAAATTCATTAAAATATTTACGCGCTTTTGCAGTGTTTGCTTTTTATATTTTGTATATGTACATAGTTTTTCAATGTACTATTTTTTAATGTATCTTTTACTCTTTTTTAATTACATTTTTAGTTAAATTTTCTTTACTTATGTTTTTTCTTCATTTTTTTATATTATTACCGGCAACTCAAACATTTTTGATCTAGTGTTTATAAACAATTTTTTTGTCAATTTTCTTTAAGGTAAATTACAATTACTTTAAACAGTATATATCTATGTATGTAGGTACATTTATATATATATATATTTTTTTTTACTTATACATTATTGTTATTTATAATTTCTTTGTAATAGAAAATAAACTAGCGAACAAATTTGAGTTTTTTTTAATTTCATCTTAAAAAAAAGATAATTCGAATTGCAATTTCTATACGGGCAAACGATGTTATGATTTAATTTGTTTTTGGTGTGCTTTATACATACGTTTTTGCTTTTGTTTATGTTTAACTTTTAAATTTTATTCAATTTTCTGTACGTGACGCTTTGGAGATTTTTTTGGTGATTTCTTGCCTAGAAAAAAAAGAAGGATATGCGATAAAATTAAAATGAAATTAATGGAAAGCATAACAAACAATACAATTTTGGAAGTTAATAAATTATTATAACCTATATAAAGTGAAGTTCAGATGGTGCAATAATGACAGAGTTTTTATTATATTATTACTAATTATCACACTTAAGAAGTTTGTTATTAAACACTAAACAGGTAAGGCTAAGAAAAAAACTCACAGTATAACCGAAGTGATAATAAATAGTGGAAGACATAATTTTGATTGTATTGATTTGTATAGAAGCTACTCTATATAATTTCAAATACTGTATTTATACAATTATACAACTTTTATTTTAACATCGTGTAAGTCTATATAATCATAGGATATAAATTGGTTGCGTAACAGATGTAATATGAACTTTAACAGGTGCACAATTTGTTTGTGAACTATTCGTAGACACAAAAAAGCAGCGCGAATTGGTGAATAAGAGAAAAATTCAAATGTTAGCACACATCAAAATCGCAGATAACAACAATGTAGATAGGAAGTGCAAGAAAAAAAGAATTAAAAATGCAAAATTTATATAAAACCTACAACACGAAACGTTTGTTTTTTTTTTTTCAAAGTACAACGAACAACATTTAGAAACAAAATACAGACATCAACAAGAAAAGGAAACTAATATAATTTTTACTAACTGATAATTAGCAAAAAATCGAGAATGTAGAGAGCAAAAAGAAAAATATAATAATAATATAAAAAGTATAATAATAATATAAAAAATATAATAACATTTAAAAAATTATATATTTTTTAATGAAAACTTAATTGTTAAGTAGCTTGAAGTTTTTTTATATTTAAAAAGCAAAACAAAAACACAGCTTACCTTGTTCTTCGCTCTGCAGCGTATTTTGCGTTTTACCTTTTTTGCTGGGTGAGTCTGTTGACTTTTTATATTTTTCCTGAGCTCGCTGAAAAATATTAATCGTGAACTAAAACAAAACACTCAAATCAGCAAACGTGAACTAACCTGCCACAACATGCAACCGTAAACAAATGCCACCGATACAACGACCTGCGTTATGAGCCATAAAACAATATTAATGCCTTGTGTATGCTCGAACAGTTCTTTGCCGTTCTTTATGCAAAGTATTGCTTCGGAGACCATAATAGCGCCATACACCCAACATTGAGTGCCCACGCGTTTACAGCGTGTATCAGTCACGTATGTGTAGTATTGCCTGTAAAATATTATGTATGTATATATAAGAGATAATATATAGAGTAAACGCAAAAAAAAATAAAAATAAAAAATAAAAACCAAAACCTACCTCACTGACGGCGCAACAAAGAGTCCTATAAAAACTAAGCGACCAACTACGAGGTAATGATCTGGTGGCATTTCAAAAATATGCTTAAGGAAGAATGTATTCAGTTCGGTGACCTGTTGATGATGTATAGTTTAATTTGATTTACTTGCAAAATTTTATACTTCAAAATTACCTGCCAAAATACCACCAATTGACAGACAGCAGCAAAACGCATCGCTGTGGATTTTGGATCCAACCATCGTATAGATGTGAAGCTTTCGGGTGTAAATTGCAATACAGCACGCTTAATTTTGCCCGTAGTCGATGAAATGTCCTTAATGCTAGCCCATTTGTATTCACGCATTTCGAGCGCTTTACAAATTCGCAAACCTACCCATATGCCCAAACCATTGCAAATGAGCACATCTAAGATGAGGGCATCCCACCAGCATTCGACGAAATTCGGCAATAAATGCGCAAATGTAATTTCGGTAATTTCCCACATTACCGATATTGCCCACAAAATGCCAGCGTGTCGTATAAGTACAGCCTTAAAGGCCCAGCCGAAGAAATGACCCCAAACGAATACATCAATCGTGCTGTAAATGCGTTCAAAACTGAGATCTGAACAATTGGCACCATATTCCTGAAGAAAGACATTTATATAAAAATTTATAATACAGGATGTATAATAATTTGCACTCACCTTTTCCATATTGATGTGAAAATCTTGTAGTTTCGGATCCAGCCAATAAAATATGTTCATAATTGTTTTGTAGTTTTGGAACATGAAGAATTGCAGCATCAAGAGATATAAAACTGAGCAACCGAATATAATGCGCCATACTGCGGGATGTGGACGGGTGAATGGACCATTTGGAAATGCCAGAAGAGATATAATCAAAAAGAAAAATATCACACACAAGATGCCGGCTCTGATGTTGTCCTCGATACTTGTTTCATTCCTGAAAATTATGAAAATATATAAGAATATTCAGTAGATGTGCAAAATAAAAATATTTTTAGAAAAAAAAAAAAATAAATATAAAATAAAAATACCGATTTTTTACATAAACTCTCCCCCCCCAAGGCGAAGAAGGTCGTGTTCTGAACCTCCCGTTGGGCGACTGCGAGGTATATTAAGATTTCCTGTTACTAGGCGCAGTTGAGCCAGCAGCTATAACAACTACAAGCCAAACAAAAATTGGAGAACGAACTGGACCAAAATATATTTATACATATATGTATGTATGAATGTTTACTGTCATCAGACACTATCGTCTTGTTCTTATCAGCTGATAGAACATTTGAGTTAAAAGCAAAAAGTATATGTACATACATATGTATATAACATAAACTATTGCTTCGATTTAATGTTGTAAATTTATGCCACCAATTTTCTTCTTCTTTTTATTATTAAATTACAACTTTTTTGTCACTTTGCCGATGCAACAGTTGATAACCGGAATTTTAAGTTAATTAATTTTAAGGCAATGAAAATAATCAACGAAACAGGAAGTATATAATATATGTACATACTCTTAATTATCTACATTCATTTGTATATGTATTTAAAAGATATAGCAAAAACAAAATATGTCGCATCTAAATACATATTTATACATGTATTTACAGTAATTAAATTTTGGCAAGCATCCAGGGGATCTAATATTCACACATTCTACATGACTATGTAAGATATTGTACATTATACACTAATTGGAAAATTTGTCATTATAAACTAATGAGAAGAATAGAATAGGCTTAAAGATAATTTGATGACAAAAATTGAAATAAAGTAACAAATGTTGTTCTTAGCAAAAAGAAAACACTTTTTACTATTATGGACTCGAGGTTATCAACCTCCTCTACAAAAATGGTCAAAAATAATATATGACCTTATTGCAACAATTTTATAATACAATACAATAGAGGCTAGAATATCATTACAGTAAGCGGGAGATAACCATGCAAGCTTGTGTGTAAATATGTGCTAAGGTCTCGAAATTTAGAAAATATACACGACCATGCGAACTCAGTTGTATGTACATATAGTACATATGTATGTTTTTCTTTAAACACATAGAAATGTTATTTACATACATATGGTACATACACAAATATGGATATATAAAGTATATATATTTATATTTAATTTTAGTACACATATTAATTAAATTTTATAAATAATTAATAATAACAATAATTTAATTTAAACATTGAAAGTGTATTCTAATACATAGGCATTACCTATACACATAGCTACATACATAGTATGTATATTAACAAACAAAACAAAAGTAAAAGCGATTATCCAACCAATTGCTACTAGCACGTGCGGTCAGTTAGGAGACATACACACATGCAAACACAAAAAATAGCTAACAAACTTTTAAAAATATATAAAATAATTAATTACTCAACCAGATACCCTTCTCAGCTTAAAATAAATGAAATTCTTCTATTGCAATTAATTTATTGCGTTTTGTTACTTTGAAAATCATATGAACTTATAATTGTCAATCATTCTCTAAGTTCTTTTGTTTAATCAATACATGAACAAAGTGGCTGGCATTGCGAAATTGACATTCAACTTTTTGTTTTCATTAAAGGGATTTTGAAATTTGACCAATCAGCTTTCGACAACTCTTGGCATTGCATTTTAGTACAATTTATTTTAAAAATGTTTTTTATGTGATATACATTTTTATAACTTACGCATCCATTTGGAGGTATGGGAAGAAAATTTATTTAGCCGATTTTGAGTTTTACGTTTAAATTGTTGCTGCATATCCTTTATTGATTTCGCCAAACATTGTACTAGCGAATCATAGGACAAGACAAATTCATCTTTTTTATTACTCAATTTCTTGTTTTATTTTCTCCAATTTTAAAAAGATGCTAAGTTGTCACCATCAACTGTTAAAGGGTTTTGAATTTTTGTAAAACCAAATATACCGAACAATAATTTTCTAATCATTTAAAAAAATATGACTTTTTTGTTTTAATTTTGATTAATTTTTCGAAAGCACTTTTCTATTTTACTTGGATTTGTTTTAAGCCTTGCCGTGATGATATTAGAAGAAGAGTTTGCACTGTACTGGTTACAGGGAATCGAGAATAACATTCGTGAGCCTTTGTGCGGATATCAGTGTGTAATGGACGAAAATGTAAATTTGACTTGCTCCTTTATGGAAGATGGTGCAATGGAGAACGGTAGACGGATAAAAAAAATCTAAAAAGTCTTGATGGCAATTGATATAAATCTCGAGATATCATAACAGTTGTATGTAAGAATTTTGTGTTGTAGTAAATAAATAACACATATGCATATAAGACAATGATTTTTAATTCTTGATTACTTAAACTGTAGAGAATCGTATTGAGATTCACAAAAAATAGCAGCTGCGCATTGGATCCAAAAATGCAAGTGCAATAAGTAAGAAAGTGTATTCTTTTATGCATTTTGTTTTGATTATGATTTTTTAGTTTAGTTTTTAACTATTTGCAGAAAAATTAAACATTAAATAAATATGTATAAACTTCAAGACACACGGTTAGGACGGGTAGCCAAAATATATCGGAGTTTAACTAAATTAATATTGTTTTTTTTATTTATTTATATTGACTTCGAGCCGACAAACAACTTCAATTTAAATAAAAGTATAATTTATGTAGAGAATACATACACACAAATTATAAACTTTAGCACTGCACTCACCTGACAAAGGCAAAGTACATCATACATAGTACCGAAATCGCGAACAGTGTTATGGTATGTGGCTTATAGAAGAAATCCAACGAAATATCATCCACAGGCCGTTCATTAACAATCACAAACGTCTCGGCGTATTCATCAAGCCCTTTCTCTTTGGAAATTGACGACGAATTTCGCGGTTTGGTGGATTTTGCGGAGGGAGTGTTGGTATTGGGCGCACCTTGAGTTTCAGCGCCACTCACGTCGGCCGATATGTTGCCGTCCGAGCCAGTTGTACGATTCTTCATGTTTTTATTATTTTCCTGATAGTGTTGTATAAAAATTATTCTGCTGAATTGTTTGTACTTTCCGAATTTCCATTCAACTACATCTAATTATCGCACCATTGAGTTTTAAGAATTACTGCGATTATTGGTTGGAGTTGCGCAATGCGCGCCTTTTACTGTCACCAACAAAGTAGTATATGATGAATTGACCACGCAACCGGACCTTGCTGATAGCACAAAAAATCATAAGAAAACCCCAAGAGGTTAGACACAAGACTAACTTTAATTTAAATTTTTTGAATGAAAAGTCAACGATTTCTTATCTCCGGGATCAGCACATCGTACGTTTTTTTAGCGTGAAGCACTATAGTGAATTGTATGCTATGAGATTTTTGTTCAAAATAAGCATGTGTATCAATCTCATAATCAATTTCCAGATGTGTATTACTTTTGCTCTGACAGTTCTTAAGAGCAAGATAAAAAGAAGAATAGTAAAATTGACTTCATGAAGTGCTGGAAAATAACTTAAAATTGCGTGGTTTAGTATATTAGGGCGTTCACATAGAGGACAGATATATTGCCTTAGAATATATTCAAGAAGAGGATAAGCTAGGCGAAGAAATAATGTTGCCTAAAAAATTTAGTTTAGTCATGTTATATAATGATATTTAAAAATATAAAAATATCGGTAGAGCTCTTCATTCGCTATATTCTGTTGTGAAAATTTATGCGAAGTACTTTTTTCTTTATTTAGATTACCTATATTTTCAATTTTTCCTTTGTCAAACAATATAAGAATCCGTTGTATTAAAATATAAGGACCTTAATAACATGTTTTTTGATAATTTTTTGTATAAAAGTTCAAAGGGTCAGGAATATTTTAACCAACTTTCAAGCCGATCGAGACGAAACTGTAGAAATTAGAGAGTTTTATAACCCGCCGCCTTTGTCATGGGTTTGACTAAATTATAAGGGTTTTTTCTTAAAACCACTTTATCGAAATCGGTAGTCAAAATTTCTCAACGACTATTGAAGCGATCGGTTTCAAATTTTTCATACTGCGCGAAAGCACTTTCTTGTGAACGGTCATCTTCACGACACACGAGACTTTAACATTGTTATAAAATATTTTTCTATAGATTATTACAAAAATTTGCTTTACAACACTTCACTAAGACTTATCTTCAATACATCTCTTGTCAATTGGCCTGACATTCGCATATCTTGAATTTCTTTTCTACGCCATTCTAAACATTTTACGTTAAAAAAGAAATAGAGAAAAATATGTGTGCAGTATAAAATATTTCGCCCAATTTATATAACTTTAATAAGTAAAAGCTTTTGAAGGAAATATAAATCGAGGAAATGCCGCGAAATCCGAATGCTGAGCGTGACAACCCGTGTTTGCACGAGCAGGAACTCTCATATAAGTGCCTTAGCAAACACAACTACGACAGGGAAAAGTGTGAAGTTTATTTTGCAAACTACAACAATTGCAAAGATTTTTGGGTATTTTTTCAATTAGAAAGTTAAATAAATGTGAATTAAATTTAAAATATTTCAGAATAAAGTACGATCTGACCGTCGTGCCAGAGGCATTGTGCCCTATCTGCCACCTGTAGAAGAACGCAGTAATATCAAATCCGAGTATATGAACTCCAAGCCAACGAACGTTTAGACCAAAATTTTCACAAAAAATGCACTTTTGTAAATATTGTTATTTTTTATATATATTAAACGATAATTTGTAATGCATAAAGTAATTTCGTTTATAAATCATGAATGGACGCTGCATTGACAATCTTTAAATTTGGTATCACTTCTTGCAACATAGAGCACGCTAATTCATATTCCAGTGATTCTTTAGGATCATTAACAACTAAAAGTTTTAGTGTTGGTATACGGTACAAACAAGAAAGTCCATTTACTGAGCAACTAGTGCTCGATATGTCCAAGACCTCTAACTTTGGATATCCAGACCCGGATACCCGATCTAAGCACCAATCGTCGAAAGTCTGCACGTTGTGAAAAGATAGAAATTTCAATTCTTGTAAATTGAATAAATTCTCTAAGCCTTCATAATAGAGCACCATGTTATCACAACGCAGTGCCTCGACCTTAAATGCTGGATGATATTTATTTGGTAAATTGAATTCTCCATCTTCATTGGCACGTAACCAGTTTCGTTCGTGTAGGAATTTAACAGCCCCACCGCGATAAAGCAAAAAATGAGCTGCAGCCAGTTCAGGACCGAGGATTTCATGCCGTTCTTGGATAAATTGTTGCATGTGCTTTTCCACTCGTTCATTGCGTTTACGCCACCATTCCTTTATAGCGCTCGGACTGAGGTTGATCGGTTTCTGCATCATGATGATATAATCGGAAGTCTGTTCCGAATTTTCAAAGGCTTTTAACTTACTATGCCAATCACCGGGTCTTTCTCCAATAGGCTTGCGCCATTGTAAGCGTTGTTTATCCGCTTTCAGTTCTTCTCGTATTCGCTCCAGAGCGGAGCTTTTAGAACCTTCTTCCGGTGGTTTCGGTTCTGATGACAAATGCTGCAAACGTGTAGAAATTATCGATAAACATATTTGTCTATTTGTTTTATTAATAACAGGCCGTAACATTATAAATTTATTTAGGTAGGATTATAAAGCACAAAAAAAGTTATTCACTATGCACACAAGCTAGACAGTCAGCTGTTCAACTGTCATAGTTGTATATGAGTGGCAGCCCTGAAAGTTTTTATGAGAGCGTGGCAATATGGCAAATACGCCATTTTTTCTTTCTCCTCCTCACACGACGTTGACAAACGTTTTTACTCGAGAAAATTTCGTTAATTGGTGCGAAGTATAGTATTTGTAATGCTTTTAAAAGCAATATATTTTTAAAAATACTACTTGAAATTAAACTAAAAGTGTTGCAAACTTTTCTAGAAAGTTCAATTCTCATATTGAAATAATCTTGAATGATCAAAGAATACTTTTAAGCATCGAAAAAGCATCATAAAAAACGGAGCTCATTAAGAATTTGGATTTCCGTCTGTCGTGTGAAGGACGAGCAAAATCCGAGACAAAACAACGTCAGTGGTTAGCAGAGACTTGAGCAAAATTTTCTCTTGCTTTAATTACTAAATAACATTCGATCGGATTTTAGAGAATGTCTGGCAGTGAGGATGGACAACTTCAAAGTCCTGGCTATGATAATTATGTCTTAAGGTGTGTATTTTATGTCTTGAAAAACCATGGAAAATTGTTTGCCCATTTAGTATTATAACTAAGTGGGGGGAGTAGCATGAAAATCACATTGTGTGTATAACTCGTGTCTTTAGTCACAGTCATACATGTAGAATTTACATATGGGTTGAAGGGCATTGAAAACAAATTTCCATGGAATAATTCTTACGCATTATTTGAAAAGATTGTTGAATTGTGATTTTTAGGAAATTTTTGAAAGTGTAAAAGCACGTATGAAAATTTTGCATATGTAATTAAAAGAAATGTGTATAGCATGGCGCAGCTTTAATTACAAAACTAAGCAATTTCATTTACATCAATTAATAGTACAGACGAATATGTAACACTATATGTGTTTTTTTTGACTGAATCGCATAATTGCTTAGTTTTGAAATATATATATAATCAAAATAATACCATCTCATAACCTTTTGCATACCTACCTTTTCATAACCTTCCTCACATTTTCAGCTTACATCCCTATCCCACACTCATTATATATATCCTCCATTACCATCAAATATACACCCTCCAGCCCATTAGGTCTAAAAAATATCTGACTTAATTATGAACTTTTTAATTTACTCAAGTTTTTTCATTGCAAATAGGCCGAAAAGTGTGTACATGTCCAATGAACGATGCGCGCGATGGCCACCATCAATTCACATTAAATCTAAAAACAAAATAAAATAAAAATAATAATTATAAAAAATACACCCAATACATATAAAATGTCATGAAAAAGAAAACATGAACTCTAAATTTCGCGTATGTTGGTGCAAAGCAAAGAGTACGGTGCTCAATAGCCAAAACAAATCGTGAAATATTTGCATAGCAGCTTGATAAATACCTAATACTTCACCTCGCATGTCGTCCACTCAGCGATGGTGCGCGCGCACAGTCGTCAGTACCACAATAAGGCGCAATAAAAGATTTAAACGACTATAGAATGGAGATAGCAGCCTGTCGAACAAATACACATAGCCTTGTAAAGGAGCTCGATGAAAAATATTGCTAAATATCAACAAAATAACACCCAGTGTCTAGCCAGTTGACCAGCTGCTTTAAGCACACATATCCAGATAACCCCACTTGTTAAATGGTGTATTTGTACATGCTCATCCCACTAACTAACAGTGACCTCTACGCAGGTGGGTGCGACAGACGAACAGGCAAAATAAACTATTGTTACACTGGTTACGAGTCGTCCATATCCTTCCCTTTTATCGATGCCAGTAACAAGTTTGCGCCATTACGCATCACTCCACACAAAAAATAGAGTACGACAAATTTGTGATGGACAACAGACTTGTTGGTTTGGTAAATTTATTTTTTGTTTAAAGGTCTATTTACATTTAATGGAATATTTTTCAGTAACAATTTCTTTTCTCTTTGCAAAAAAAAGAAGAAATATTTCTATTTTCACTCTTTCTTCCAAATATAAATTGACTCCCTAGGTTTATGCGGCTGATGTCGATTTACTTTTTCCGTGCCTTGGATATTTTGCTTGACTGAATTGTTTACTGGGCGTTGCAAGGTAAATTAAAGAAAGTCAAGGTGAGTGTAAAAATATGATTCGTATTAAGTTAAATTACATGATAAGTATTAACGTACTCGTGTATGTTACTCTATTTTTAAGGAGAGATGACTTGCTTATGTAAGTATACCGCTGAACTACTTAATGTTGAAGCGCATGAAATGGCCATCAAATAAGCGAAACGAAATGCTCTATATAAGAACGAGCATGAAAACACAATTACTTCAGTGTTTACCGTAAATTAGTAAATTAATTTATATTAAACGAAAAACATTTATTGAGGTTTTAAATTCCAAATTTCTATACAAGCGTTAAAATGGAAAGTATGTTGGTATGGACTCTAGTTAAGGTGCGTTTCATATACATAAATTTCACTTAATTTTTAAGTTTAGGGTTATTTTATTTTTTATCATAAAAAATCTTGTGCTGTGGAATTACTTATGTATATCATATGTATAAACAACCAGTTTATGCCATGGTTAGGGATCTTTGTTAAATCGCTTATATATGTAAAATTGTTGGTTCCCTGTGCTTTTCAAAAAATTGTAACAACTTAGAAGAATGTAGCATTTTTCTCTTATTATATTTGTACAAGCAACTGCTACTCGAACAAATATTATACGCTTACTAATTTATGAAATACTTCTAAATGTCCATTTCCTTTGAATTTGCTTAAAACCCGTTGTAGATATTAATTTCATGACTTTTTTTTTTATATTTCACACTCTGCAATTTGTCCATTTCTCTCTTTTCAGAGATTTGAGCAATATAATCTGTATGCAGATCTAATAGTGTACCGAGGGGTGACACGATCGAACACTAACTAGACTATCATCCAAAATTGTAGAAAAAATTTTATTCATATTTCAAAAATTAACACTCTAGAACTATCCATTTATAGGAAAAATAACAAGAGGTGCAGTATAAGTCTGAGCAAAAGCTCGAGCGAAAAGTTCTTAAGTCGTTATTAATTGTCTATAAGAAGGTATTCAGTATTCAACAAAAAAAAATAATAATTAGGGCTCAGCGTCAACCTCATGCTTCATATCCCTATATCGTTGTCAAACGTATAAAATTAAAAAAAAAAGTTATGTTGTGTCTCTAAAATATTTAGAGAATATGGATGTCGTTTTGACTTACTTAAAATGGAAAGTTTGAAAACTGACAGTCTCAAAATTTCGGGTTTTCATTATGATACGATTTTTGCATATGAAATACACCTTAATTAGGAGCCATAAACCAAACCATAATAATACAAATTATTTGTGTATGAATTATTGATATTTTCGTTACTCAAAGTGCTACCAGCACTGCGGTGGTTTCTAGTAAAATTAAACTAAGATTATTAGATGCAATTATACGATTTTCAATTGAGTTCCGATGGTTTTTTGGTGTTCTGTTTATAGTCATTTAAAGTAAATATTTATCATCCATAAAATCAATCCGAAATTGTGAATGGCTCATAGCTATATTGCTGGTCATATCTCTTATTAAACTCTTTTAGTTTTGAACAACCTTATTTAGTTGCAAAATGAATGTATTCGAGTATTTAAAAAAAAATTATCTCTCTTCATTGAATACAAAGAACATTTTGAACCTTTTCAATTATTTTTTAATTAATTTAGAATTCTAAAAAATTTACTATTTATTTATTTATTTTATTTTACCTACCAGCCCCAAGTGCATTTTCATATCAGTTGTAAATCGTAAAGTTAAACCCAAAATTTGCCACTTATAAGAGCAGAGTATAATATAAATCAGTTGGGCTGGAAAATCATTATTAACATTGAAATCAACATCTTGAAAACTCACACATGCCTGGTAATGTTATTGGGCTGACAATTTATTGTTTAACAAAATTAAATCGTTAGTAGAAAATTACAATATTAAGCAAGAGATTTTCGAAATTCAGCATGATTTAAATTATTAAATGGTTTAAAAACTAAGCTAAGTTTTTTCTTATAAAAATTCATTTAACGATAGTCCTAAGCGCATATTTCAATCCTTTCAAAAGAAATCATTACTACACTTTGATCTTTAATTTGCTTTCCACTAAGCAGGAAAAAGCTCTTTAAAGCAATCACAAGCAGACCAGGCCGTAAAAGTAAATTGACATCGAGGCGTTCAGAAAAGTTTCGTTTATTCAATACGGAAGTAAGTTAAAACAGAAAAAAGATAGAAAAAAATATAATGCAACAGTTTTACAAATATAAATTTTCGAAATTTTCTTCGAGTTATTAAGTTGTTGTTTTTTACGACTGGCTACTGCAGAGCGCCAAGTATGTGTGGACGGAAGACCACCCACTGAGCTGGACCATTATGCACAACAAGTGGCAAGCAAAAGATAATGCGAAAACAGCTGGAAACTAAATAACGGTGTAGCTTTGTCGGATGTTAAAATCGCACGAATTAGCGCTTACATAGAGACATGCTTCATTATTTATAGCCACTAAATTTTCACATGCACATACATATGTATATTTCATTTAATTACTTTGCAAAATTTAGGGTCTAAATTTTGTTAGCTTTAATTACAAAAGAAAAACAAAACGCGAAAATCTATTCTCTTCCCAAGTTTTACCGATTTTATTTCATATTTTCATCAAAATTTAAATTAATTAGCGGTGAGGAGGATGCAGACTCATTGGACATTAAACCACCTCAAGCGAACGTAATACACCCACGTGATTCCAGTGGTTCGAGGCGCAAGGAAAAGTCATCCAAGGAGAAGAAACATTCCAAAGAGAAGAAACATCGCGGCGAAAGAGAACGGCTCGCCGCCCGTGAACGCGAGCCACGCGAGTATGACATACGAGAACCCCATGGCAGGGAGCGCGATATGCGCAACGATCGCGGCGGCGGATTACGACCAGAGGATATGGAGCGCGGTCGAGATCACCGACGAGGCGGCGGCGGCGGCGGCGGCAGCGGCGGCGAGCGTGATGAAATATTACGTTATCATCAACGAGGTAGCGGCTATGAACGCGAAGACGAACGTCGCTATGCAAAGCACTATGAACCACATAACAATGAAATGCGTCGGAATAGTGGTGGTAATGGTGGTGGTTATCATCAACCATATCAGCATCCACATATGCCACGTCAGAGGCAGCAGGAATACTTTGAGCGCCCATCTGGTGGCGGTGGTTACCATCATGGCAGTGCGGAATATTACAATAATCGACACCAACCACAACAGCAACAATATGGTGGCAGTGTTAAGCACTCTCATGTGGAGTACAATGACGTCAGTTATGAGATGCAGCGGGAGCGTCGGAAATATAATTACGATACGCAGAATGATTCTGAGAGTATCGAACAAGATTTGCGTTCTCGTTTGCTTAGTAAGAGGCACAAGTACGTTAAGGGCAGTAGCGGCGAAGTCATCGAGCTGACGGAGAGCTATGAATCCACTTCGAAGATACAACGCCAACGGTATGTCGATGGGGAGCGCAGTGAACGTTATCGTCATAAACGTGAGAAGGCGCGTGAGTCCGTCATTGAGGTGCTTGACAGTCCGGAAGTTGCTGAATTGGAAAACGCTACCGCAGAGGAAGAAGATACGCACCGACAGAGGCGTAAACATAAGCGCCGTAATAAAGAGCGTGAAGTGGCGGTGCAACAGGAAATTGTTGTGACGACGGAACGTGTAGAACGAGTCGAAAAGCGTAAAACACCCGACGACCCGGAGGTGTTGTCACGTCGAGAAAAGATTTTGGCCATAGATCGGGAGAAGGAAAAGCGTAAAGAGCAGGCGCGTGAGGAACTGGAGGCACGACGACGCGCCAGAAATGCACTCAGTCCAAGCGCAGTGGCAGCTTCCGTAACAGCTGGGCTAAACGTTATGAAGCGCAAGAAAGAGGTTGAGGAGGTGGTTGCGATAAAGAAGAAACGATCAAAGAAGGTGAAGGCATCAAAAGAGCACAGTGATGAGGAAGAGGGGGAGGCGCCGGACAGCGATGATGAAGATAATGATTTGGATGAAAGCGAGGACGAGGAAACAGATAGCGGTAGTGGTGATAGTGAAAGTGACAGCGAGAACCATTCTGAAATGGAAGATGCTGGCATCCGTCATGAAAAGCGCCATCATAAGCATAGTAAAACAGATCGGAAAAAGAAAAAGAAGAAACACCGTTCACATAAGGCTCGGGATAATGGTGCTGAGGTTAACGAACGTGACGAAGACGATAACGATGATCTCGATGATGATGACTATGAGGAAGATGATGATTTGGACCTACCAGAAAGTCCGCTCTCCATAGGTGAACTTTCTAAATCACCACAGCGTGAGCATCGTATAAAAAAGCACAAGAAAAAGAAGAGCAAAAAACATGTAGAGAACAATGACGAAGATGACGTTGAACAGCGTTCCATGCGTTCACGTTCACGATCCGCCCATTCGCTATCCCACTCTCGATCACTTTCACGCTCCCGTTCTAATGAGTCACCTCAGAAGAGCTCAGTCAGTTCTCGTTCGCGTTCCCGTTCAGGTTCCGGTGGCTCTTCACATCGTCGTACAACGCGGTCACGTTCACATTCGAGAACACATTCGCGCTCACGCTCCAATTCCCATTTTGATTCACGCTCAGAATCCTCGCGCTCGCGTTCAAGGTCATCCGGTTCACGCTCACGCTCCAGAACGCGCTCACGTTCGCGTTCAGAAGAGCGCGACATGAAGTCTGCGCACAAATCAGATGCAGAAGCCACAGCGGCAGGAAGTAGGCGTCAGGCGGAAGCCGGTAGTCGTAATGATTCTCCTGCGCGCGATGCTAAAGGCGCACCACTGCCAGACTACTTTCCAGGCATACAAGGCTGCCGCTCTGTCGAAGAGTTTCAGTGTCTGAATCGTATTGAAGAGGGCACCTATGGTGTGGTATATCGCGCCAAAGACAAACGTACCAACGAGATAGTGGCACTGAAGCGCCTCAAAATGGAAAAGGAGAAGGAAGGCTTTCCTATAACCTCTTTACGTGAAATCAATACACTGCTTAAGGGCCAGCATCCGAACATTGTAACGGTGCGTGAAATAGTTGTGGGCTCCAACATGGATAAAATTTTCATTGTTATGGATTATGTGGAACATGATCTGAAATCGTTGATGGAGACGATGAAGGCGCGTAAACAATTCTTCCTGCCAGGTGAAGTCAAATGTCTGGGACAACAGCTGTTGCGAGCGGTCGGACATTTGCATGATAATTGGATTTTACATCGCGATTTAAAAACATCCAATTTGCTACTCTCGCACAAAGGCATACTGAAAGTGGGTGATTTCGGTTTGGCTCGAGAATATGGTTCGCCGCTAAAAAATTACACATCACTGGTTGTAACGCTATGGTATCGTGCACCCGAATTGCTGCTCGGCACACCCGAATACTCAACTCCCATTGACATCTGGTCGGTGGGTTGCATTTTTGGCGAGTTCCTACAAATGGCGCCGCTCTTTCCGGGCAAGACGGAAACAGATGAGCTGAATAAAATATTTAAGGTTAGTTTGAATATATTTATGCTTAGTGATTTCATAAATTATGTTGTTATGTTATTGCGATATGTTTTTACACCAAACTAACTATTTTATCACGCTCTTTTCCTCGCACAGGAACTCGGCACACCAAACGAACGCATTTGGCCCGGTTACAAGGATTTACCCATCGTCAAGAATATGTTAAGTCAAAATTCACAGTTCGCCGATTATCCCGTTTCAAATTTACGTAGGCGTTTCGCCGACAAAACCACCGATTTGGGCATTGAAATGCTACAGGGCCTACTCACCTATGATCCCAAGAAAAGACTGACCGCTGAAGCGGCGCTTAAACACAGCTACTTCACCGAACTGCCACTGCCCATCGATCCATCCATGTTCCCCACTTGGCCGGCGAAAAGTGAATTGGGCGCACGCAAAGCGCTCGCCTCATCACCCAAACCGCCCTCTGGCGGCTCACAGTTTAAGCAGTTGGGTCGCGACGAGATTATTGTGGGCAGTAGTGGCGGCGGTAGCACGGCGGCTAGTATTGCTGCAAACAACAGTAAAGTTATATCCGGTATCATAACGGGTAATAAGAAAACCGCTTCTAACACCGGTTTTGTACTCAATGCAGGCATGGATCAACGTCAACTGGCCATGGGCCCTGGATTCAATTTGAAATTTTAACCAGAAAGACAATGGAAAAACTGCAACACACATAAATTACTCTTAGAGCCACCATTTCAGTGTGTATGGGTGGAAATTAGGATACCACTTCTTTTACAAATATTTTTTTAATCATTAAAGATTTGTTCTAGTTAACCATGAGCGCAAGCCCATACTAATTTTGCTAAATTATCACATACATATAGCTCGTAAGCTACAGTCCAGAAGAATTGTAAAAACCGTCATTTGTTTTGAATGTCCATTGGTCACTCAAACCAAACAATTTTACCAACCAAAATACTAAGGAATCCTTGAGAGCTTAATATTTAATACAATTACCATTACCATTAAATAGGGATTATAATAAAATTAAAAAATTAGATAAAAATGTACAAATTACCCTCATGCATTGGCTGGCGTAGTCATATAAAGCGGTAAAATTCATCATCAAAAGTAAATGGCATACAAATATAAATACAACTTGTATACATATGTATATCTACAGGTGGATTTGTTCAAATTTCAAATTTGTGATTTTCAATTGGCGGTAATCATTCAAAAATTAACCCAATTCAAAAATAATTCAATAGAATATAACTGTAATTTTGGTAGAATTAAGTGACTTTTGAAACATAAAAATGTTCTAGATTTATTAAGTACTTAGCTGCAGAGAGAATGTATTTAAAGAAGAGTGTTTATAAGAATGAAGACGCCTTTTGGTGGAAAAAGACCAATAAGAGAATACAAGCATATAATTTTGAAACAAAAAATTGTTATGTTTAATTTGACTAGAGATGTGAAAAGTATGGATAAAATAGAATACCAAGAGGGCGATGGTAATTGGTTTTGATATGAACTCAGTGTGAAATATAAAGTCGTTGATTTGAATTTTAGCCCGCTGGAACTGCAGGATTGAAACAATCTGAAAGATTTATTCAACTTATTTCCTATTAGAAAAAGAAAGCGGTGCTAAAAAACCATTTCCCAATTAAGAAAATAAAATTCTTTTAATAGTTTTACAAAAGTACACTTTTATTTCTTAACCAGAATAAAGATAAGCATCAAGGCTCACATCATAACTAAATACCATCCACAATAAAATAAACTACATACATTTCTTAATAGTGAGATATAATTGGGTTTGTAAACTTTAAATAAAAAATACATCGCAATGATTTCAATTGCCTGTTAATATACATACATACATATAAACATTTGTTTGTATATTTACGTAGACCACAAGTAGAAGTATGTACCCTGCCAATAAGGTAAGTATTCACGTAATGGTCCGGCGATCATTTTAACCAATGGCACATTGTCAGCCACAAAACCTAATACACGATCTATTCGTGAGTGCGTTACGCGTTCATATAAGGGTGAGCGCACTAAATACAGCAATAGATTCATACAACGTTTTGACATTTCTACCTTCTGCTCTTTACTCATCTCGTGCCGGTGTTGATGGTACATACGAATAGTGATCAAATCCAATGTTAACGAAAGTACATACTGGTTCCATTTTTTCTCACCAAACACACCCATCGCGGCCAGATGTATCAAGGGTTTGGCGATATATAAATATTCAGCTTGTATCAAGGCATAGTTCTTTGGTTGGTTACCATTTTTTTTCGGTTGTTCTTCAGCTAATTTAAAGTCACGATATTGTAGGGGTGGCGCTCCTTCAATTTTGCGCATTACTCGACCGGAACGTTTCAATTGGAATGTACCGCAACTGTCACCAAATCCATTAGAAAGCGATTTTTCAGATTCTGCTGATGACTCTTCCATTACATAGCCATTTTTCATTGCGTCCTTTTGTTTCTTTATAAGCGCACGACGATTAAGTGCAGGTAGAGCAGGTGTTGTGATAATTTTTTCCGTCGTGTGCTGAAGAATGAAAAATCGACCAGCGGCTTTGGCAAATTGCACCAGTGCAACAAATAACCATTTGCCCCTTACGCCAAATATACGTTTAGCTGAAATCTCGATGAACACTTCGCAATATTCTAATGTGGTGAGAATGACCTTTAGACGGTAGACATGCTGTGATTTTTTATTGTTCTTGTACGCTACCGCACTAGTACTGGCATCATAATTTACAGGTTGTAATCCAGTTGAAAATCTTTTGTTTTGTGATTTATCAATTATACGGTCATTATATAGTACCAACATGTTGGATAATGTGTAAATAAGCTCGGAAACCACATTAGAATCTGAAATGCGTCCTAGAAGTGTGCAATATATTTTGAACATTTTGTATGCGATGCATTTGTAAACATGTTTATGTACATACCAGCAATGAAATAAGAAACCCATTTTGTTGTGGTCTCAACGTCGCAAACAGTTTCAGGATTTGCTGCTACCCATGTCTCATACGACCTTATCAGCTTTTTTAAGTTGTCCATTATATCCGTTAAGTTTTGCTATGTGGTTGTTAATCGTTTCTATAATTTTTAATCTAATCTACATATGACTTTGTCGAAGAAATAATTTTAAGTTGGCCAATGGTTGGGTAAATAGCAAAAAATCAAAGGCCGTTTCCAACTGAATAGAGAAAGCCGATAAGTCGATTGATTTTATAAAAAAAATAGACTAGTTCGGTAGCTAATGGGAAGTGACATTTGGTTACTTGCTAATTCTTACTGACATTTCCCACCAAGCAGGGCTAATACCATTAAAACTTGTTATTTGCTATAAAATACCGCTATTGTGTAGATATTTAAATATTCTATTTATAGCGGTTATATAATTATATAATTAACGCTTTTTAACCGCTGAAGCGATAACGCCTACTTATTTGAGTAATTTTGAAAAATTCCTGCTGCGTTTTCCAATAACACAGTTTTAGTGGCTTTGTAAACAAAATGGTAATAATTAATGAAACAGCTGTTTGTTAATCTTTTATCCCCATTGATAAAAACTGCCAGAATGAGCTCCATTAATTTTGAAATACGTTTAAATAAAGAAAATAAAATATATTACGAAGGTGTAAGTTGCTAAACTAAATAGATGTGAATGTAAATCATGTTAAAAAAATTACAGGAGCTATTAAAGGGCTGCGTACATTTCAACTGCCCAGCGGAATCCAAACATGATGGCATACAATTAACTCTAGAAGGTGTTGTAAATCTACAACTAAGTACAAAAAATGTTGGCGTCTTCGATGCATTCTACAACTCCGTGAAACCGATAACACTTTTCAACACAACACTTGAATTAGCAGCGCCAGGGAAATTACCTGCCGGCAGTTCGGAATTCCATTTTGAGCTGCCTTTAATTTGTAATAAAGAACCGCGTGTACTTTATGAAACATATCATGGTGTATTTATCAATATTAATTATCAATTACGTTGTGATGTAAAACGCAGCTTTCTCGCAAAATCATTACAAAAAACACAGCAGTTCTGTATACAAAATAAACCCACACTAGTGGATATCAAAACGCTAACTTCAACGGAAGTTAATTTCAGTATTAGTCCAGAAACGTTGCAAAAGTCTGCGAAAGAGCGTATAAATATACCGCGATTTCTTATAACGGGCAAATTAGATCAAACGGAATGCTGTGTTACTCGCCCATTAACGGGACAAGTGCGTATGCATTTGTTAAAAAACTGTATAAATATAAAATTTTTGAATTTTCATTTTGTAGATAACAGTACAGCATACAGAAGTGGCAATTAAGTCAATTGAATTGCAATTATTGCGTGTAGAAACATGCGGCTGCACGGAGGGTTATTCTAAAGATGCAACCGAAATACAGACTATACAAATTGCTGATGGAAACATTTGCCCGAAGCTGGAAATACCTATATACATGATTTTACCACGTCTATTCACTTGTCCGACACTAATAACAAAGAATTTTAAAATTGGTAATTGACTTATGCACTATTTAATAAAAAATTACATTAATTTAACTATTTTTCAGAGTTCGAGTTAAATTTGTTGGTTATTTTCAAAGATGATTACGTTGTTACTGAAAATTTTCAAATCATCTTGAAACGTACAGTTTCACAAAGTGATAATAAACTGTAAGGCAATAATAATAATATAAAAAATATTGCGTTTTCCAGCATTCCTAACGAAAATAATATCAATTTGGAAACATAAGCAAACATAAGCACATATAAAAAAATGTACGTGTAAGAATAGAATATAGCAAGTTTAAGCGAATCGGTGCAATGTCTATAAAGCAATCTTATGTTATATGCAATAAAAGTTTCGACGTAAATTTACATAAATATGCATTTGAATTAACTATTGCGAGCAAAATGAATATTCAAAAAAAAAAAAATAAATAAACAAATCATCCAACTAAAGCATTTATCACTGAACAAACTCATCCACCAAAAATGATTGCCCACTATCGCATAATATACATATGTATTGGTAAGCCTAAAATTAAACACTTGTTTTCCTTCCTGAGTTTATTTTTTATTACTCTACTATTTTAATAACACCAAAAAAGAAAAATGCATAAATTATATACCGTTTTTATATAATCTTTTATACTTTCATTTAAATCTAATAAATTCTTGACGCCTATTTACATAAAAATAGCCCTCATATTCTTTTGTATATTTTTGCTACAATTGTATATATACATATATTAGAAAATTGTTCTCACCTTCACTTTGCTAAATTTATATTAATAATATATATTAAAATAAACTTAATTTTTTATCTTTAAACTTACACGCATGAAAATAAAATCTGCACATACAAATAAGTAGGTACTATTAAACACCAAATCGACTTCAGCAGCAGACAATCTCAATTATTCCACAATATTTGTGTTATTTCTATGAGTTTTATCATGCAATTGTTCGGCATCCTGCAGTGTTGTTGGCAGAACTTTATCCGTCGTTTCAGGAAAGAGTAGAGTTAAAGTACCGCTAATTAAAGCAAAAGTGGCGAAAAGTATTTGTGGCGCATACTCATAGTAATTGGCCTAGAATGGAACAAAAACGAAAATTACAATTATATACAAATTTAAAATAACGAACGCTACAATCATACCAAAAGCGGTGCTTGCGGCGCCAACATCGAGCCGATACGTCCAACCATCGAGCAAAATGATAACAAACTATTGCGCACATTTGTGGGAAATATTTCCGAGGTGAAAAAATATAAAATCTGAAAACTGCATGTAATGGCAAATTTTCCAATTAAAAATAGCAGCAACTCGACAGTTTCATGATCTAAACACAAAAAATAAAATAAAAAAAATAAAAAAAAATTTACAAAAAAAAAATCAAAAATGTGTGTCAAACTTACTGCCGCCCACAACCGCCGTTATGCCCATACACAGGGCACACACCAACATAGAGCCACAGAGCGAAAAGCGTCGACCAACTCTGTCCATAATTAGTAGAGGTAAGATCAAACCCGGTACCTGTATTATACCATTCAGTTGGAAATTCGTATATTTATTGCCGCCCAACGTAACTGACGTGAGGCTCAAACCCAATGCGACCAAAGTATGCGTAAACCAGCAGAAACAACAATTCAATATACGCCAACGAAATAGTTTCAGCGCCTTCCAGATGGGATAGTGACTCTCTTGTGCTTGCTCTAGCTTAGCTTTATTCTCCGCCACCAAAGCTTGAAGATCCTCTTCTGGTATTTCACGTTTATTTACGCTTGCAGCGCGTTTCAACAAGCGTGTAGCATCATCCTCTCTACCCTGACTAAGCAGCCAACGTACACTCTCTGGCAGTATGAAGAGGAAGAGTATTTGCAGCAATGCTGGTGTGTAGAGTACACGCAGTAGATAACGCCAATTTTGAAATTGTTGCGCTAAAACACCCAAAAATGCTTCGCCTAGGGAGTAAAAGATCGTGATAATGGTCGCTGCAGCTACACGACGTTTTGGTCCCACCAACTCGATGGCCAGCAGAAAGGCGGTGGGAAAGAGTGTACTGCCCACAGCCATGTCGATGAATTCAAAAACGATGAACATATAATAATTGGTCGATATGGAACGCAGTATGCCCATGATGGCACTAAGGAAACCACCCACAGCAAGCATTGTACGACGACCCAAACTAAAAGTAATAAAAAGAAAAAAAAACATATAAAAATAAATAAATAGAGTAGAAAACATCCTTTTCCAGCAAACTAACAACTGAGTTCTTAAACTTTTTTCAAACAAAACCTAAATTGCACCAGGAGCAATGAAAATCGTCCTTTAACCACCTACAAAACCCAATACCTCATACGTATGGCTTCTGTAGTCGTTAGAGGATATCAAGTGGTAAAAGTTTCTAGCAATTGACAAAGGTATTATCTGGTCAGTCATAAGCTACACCGATCTATCCCAGTGAATGTCAACCGTGAATCTTCAGTATGCCTGGCACAACTGTTCTAGATTAAACTTCTACTTATCCAGAGTTCACCTTGAAATACTCAACACACGACATTAACCACCCGATTCGATGTTCACTAACACCTACTCCTCTAACACCCATTTTCCCGTAGTAAGAACCCGTCGAGATTGTTGTTTCCAGAGCCTCTGGTTAACCGATCAAGAAAACATATACTAGACCCATTATTCAGACAAGATTTGAATGAGATTCATAACTCTGCCAAAGCACATTGATAAGATCCTACGGAAATACTTTTGCTGGGGCTGCCTTTCAATGTTTTCATTTAGTAAACAAATCGTTAAGCACTTACCGATCCGCAAAGTAGCCACCTACTGGTATACCAACGAATTGTCCGACATTATTTACCGTACCAACCATAGTCAACATCCAAATACTAGAGCAAAATATGGAAAACTAAAACAGACCCGAAAAATAAGAATACAAATTTAAAATCAACTTTCCAACTGTTTACCAACGCTTACCTCAGTAGAAATCGTATATTCGTTATCACGAAATTTGAAATCGTTTCCACATTTCTCCGTAACACTGCGATTGAAATTTGCCGCAGTACAAAACTCACTCGAAGGATCTGTATAATAATTTCCCGAGACACGCTGAAGATTGTCGTTAGTCACGTAGCGAGTGCACTGATCGTAGCTGGAACCTTTCATGGGTATGGTGAAATTTAGCCATGGCTCGTTGTAACCGCTCGACGGACTGTCACATTGCGTTACATTACATCTGATAATATAAAATATTTTACTTTGGATTTTAGTGCACGTAAAGAATATAGCCAAAAAAAAAAAACCCACCTGTGCACCACCGTACTCGCAGTAAATACATAAGAGATGGAGAAGAAGGCATTGAATATCATGGGTATACAGAGCAGCACATAGTTGAAGAGTTGAAAACGTCCGAATTGCCCAATACGCACCAATATGCCATCCAACGTACAATCGTCACCACTCTTGGCCCGGTCGACATCTTTAGCGTCCACCGTTGCAGGTGTTGTGTTGTGACTTGTAGCTTCACGTTCAGTTGTCATGAGCGACTCTGCTGACTTTTGGGAGTTTTTTTTTGGTACTTCAACTAGGAACACTGGTTTTAACTAATCAATGCGTTAATTTTATAATTTTTTACGAACTTTTCGGTGCGACACTCATAACCGCTTACCACTTTCGTCAACGTGCGTCACCACAACCAATCTAAACGACATTCATCATACGAATGAATAGCAGACACACTGCGTGATGTGAATCTCACTCAGCTTAGCGAGTTGCTTTGTAAGATCTGTGTGTCGAAGATATGACTCTCTGTGGATACCCAACCAACATTTGTGCGAGTAAACGAAGCGAATTTCAGTAATAGAATAGCCTGAGTTGAAAGTTATAGCCGATCCCCACTCGCGTAATTCTTTCTACATTACTCTGTTTCAGTTTTTTCTTTTACGACAAACCCTCGTTATCCACCCCTCTTCCTTCTTCCAACCGATCGACCGGAAAACCTGAAGGAAAATTAAAAAATCCCACAGACCGGTGACCGAAAACCAGCGACAGTCCGGTTTAAAGTTGGTTATGCATGAATACAATAAAAGCGGTCTAAAGTGTCTGTATGATCTTAGAGGAATGGAAAATTTGGCATCTTTTATCAATTTAGGTTAGATAACTCCAAGCGTCTCTCTACGACTTAAGTAGATTACTGAATCGTAACCGACTGTGAGGAGAGGTTTTCTCAGAGAACTCGAGTTGAGAGAGGAACGAAATCCTCTAGCATTCGGTTACAAAAAGCTAAGGACGATATTTGTTTTTCAACTTACTAGAATATCAAGCAGTTGACATGTCGTAAGCCTGTCCGTAGAAAAATCTTTTACGATTGATAATTTCATCAGTCTTGCCGATCTTGCGATTCTCTACTGCTTAATTGATACTGTTTCTATCGGAAGTTCCCCAATCGCCTTTAAATAGTTTAGGTAAGATAAAGTTCAATCAGTTGAGTGAGCTAAACCCTCTGGGACAGTTCTCTTAATATGTCTGGTGAATCTGGTGCCTCTCGGAAACTTTCCATCATTTTATGAGATATTTCAAACGGTACGCTAAATGCTTTCTGGGTATTTGTGACACACCAGTGGTGTTTATCGCAGAGAGTAGGCGTTTTTAGTGTTTATTTGTGCGAATATATGGAAAACTACTCTTCCAACACTTCCACAACTAACCATAACAACAACAACAAGAAAACAACAAACTCTCTCCGTCGTTTATAGTTGTTGCATATTGCTTTCGTCTTATCACTATTTATAGATTTTCTTGGTTTATTTTGTGATATTTCATTGAATAAAGATACGCCGAAGGAATTTTTTCTCACTCGGCCTCAGTGGGCTTATCGACAAGAAACGTTGACTACAATTAAACATTTTATATTCTGATTACAAACTCGTCTACATATTTACATATCTGCATTTACTCGTATCAGCAGATCGTTTGAAATACGTGCGTTCTTCTAATCTTCATTAGGGAAGACGGTGGGGTCATATGGAGCGTGGAAACGAAATTCACATTTGATAATCTATGATGCGACAGGTTGTAAAATGTCTGTGAATTTGAAAATGATGAGTTTTGGTATTGAAGTTTTTTTTTTTTGGTTTACGCATGCAAAGATATCCCTTTGATGGTTTTGGAAAACTATTGTTCCCCTCTCGTATGTCGCACTATTTTTAGTTTTAATACAGAAATACAGAAATACAGAATACATAAAAATTTAGCGCCGAAATACTAGATGTCAAAGACATTTTTTTGTGTGCTTGGAACGAATTTTCAAACGATTTTGTGCTGTAGCTTGGTCCAAATTTAAAACATTTATTAAATAGTTCACGAGAGAAACTTCAAAAATTTCATTTTTTTTCGCGATTTCATCTAAATTTAATAGAAAAAGAAGAAATAAGAATTTAATTGGGCCATGCCGAAATCTTAATAAAGGGTGTTTTTTGAATAAGTGGTTTTCGAGAAGAAATAAAACGAATAGAATTTACTGTTAAGAGCTGGCTCGAATAAATTTCAGTCGAGAGGCTCTATTATAGACCACCTTTTGCAGGCATTGGTGTGGTACGTCAGCAATAACGTGTCGAATATTCTCTTCCAAGGTGTCAATCGCCTCGGGCTTATCTGCATAAGCGAAAATAGTTCAGCGGTGTTAAACCGCACGATCTTAGAGTCTCACGACGAGGGATAATGCGCTTACCAAATGTTTTCTTCAGGAAATTGATTGTTTCTTTGGATGTATGGCATCTAACGCCGTCTTGTGTAAACCAATGATCGTTCACATCAACATTCACTAGTTCTTAGATGCGTTTTTGAAGGATTTTTGATCCAAAAATCGGACGCACATATATATGCGTGCGTCTGTGTACGAAGTTTGGTTGAAATATCTCTAAAACTGGGGAACTATTTAGCGTATACATTTCGAGGAGGCTATCTTTTTTACTACTGATACTTGCATACTTACCACCAAAGTTAATATACCGTTAACTTGCACTTCAAATATTAATAAAAATAAAAATGAAAATAAGAATAATGATATTATCCAATTAAAATTGACAGCTGTCATATTTAAAATCGTCATCTGCCCTGAAATATGAACGGTATTTTGAAACCAAACTTTTCAACATTTAGCACCGCTACTGATATGCATGCGCTGTTATTTCTTATCCTAGTAATTGTAGTGATAAACTGAGAGTTATGTAAATAATAACTGCCAAACAGACAGAGGATGCACGCAGGTTTGTTTGTGTGTACATTTACAATATTTACAACTGTTCAAAGTGATAGCAATCAATCAGCAATACTTGTCAGCGCTTACGTCACATTCGGCAGTATTTACGCACACCGGAGAAGGCCCTTTCGTCGTTATTAGAGATTTGTAAAATAATCAATCCTGTTTTCCTCGTTAAATTTAAGGCATTCGGAATATTGTAAAGTGTGAAAAATTCCTGAAGGCTAGATATCGTAGCATACTTTTAGGTTTGCTCTCTTTCGTTTGAGAATTTAAGTAAAGGACGTAGCTAGCGAGAAGCGGAAAATTCACATGTAGCGACGTAGTTTTGAGATCAGCGTTTACTTTTCACTTTCACAGACACACATATGCATATGCACATACAAGACGTGTAGAAACATTTAGGTTTATTTTTAGGTGTTATCGTCTAAAAAACCTATTTCACGTGAATTTTTTCTGCACAGTTATTTATCAGTCATTGTGATGTAGATATAAAAATCTGTAATCAATAAAATGTTATGACTACACTTTGTTTATAATACGTTCGCTACCAAAATGAAAACGGGTAAGGGAGACGTAGAGGGTATTTTTTCAGATGCGCGGGTTTCAATGAGGCAATACTTCGTTCGAAATAATCGGCAAGCAGAGTCGGTCATGCGAGCAACTATGGATCGATTATACACTACGTTTGCTCTAGTGGATAATGCGCATCCTCAAAGACGCCATTCAGTGCGTACCGAAGGCGCCATTGCTGCTGTGGAACAAAGTATCGAAAAATACCCAAATAAGCCCATCCGCCATTGCTCATAACAATTTGAGTAGAGCATGGACACATACACTTTATGAAAGACGGGATCTTCGTGTATAGGCTTAAAAAAATCCAACTCTTGCAATTATTGAAACGGAACGACAAACGATCGCGTCCATGTTCGGTGATTTGGCCAAAAAAAATTACAAAAAAATTTGTTAAGCAATGGAGCTCACTTTAGGTTGAATGGGGACGTTGATGAACAATGTGTCGCATTTGGAGAGATTATAATCAAGAAGACATTGTGGAAACGCCTTTTCATCCTCAAAAAGTCAAAGGGCGGTGCCCTCCGTTTGGTCCATATTTCATTACAACGAGGCCGGCCATATTGTTACAGTCAATGGGAAACGCTATAATAGTTTTTTTAATGTGTCGGAGTCGGCAGAAATAATCAAACTATTGATGGAAACTATTGAATAGCACATAATCCTGCGTAGTTGGCCTGTGGTGTAGCCGTCAAGATCGTGCGATTTAACATCGTTAGACTAATTTTTTTTGTTTTTTTTTTTTTTTGTTTATGGGAATCTGCTTGTTCGCGCATATAAGGCCGAGATGAAAAGAAACACCAGAATTTTGAATTTGAAACAAGATTCCGTTATTTTGTGCCTAATATTTTATACTTGCCATTTAAAAAAGATTTTAAATACGATATATTGTTATTTAGTTTAATTTAATTTGATTTAAAATATCACTTTATTTGGAGAAAAACGTGGAAATGTTTATACACTCTTACAATTTTTAGTATTTTTTTTGTTTGTTTGCTTGTTTGTAAGTAGTTTAGTAAACATTTTGACGGATATGCAATTGCATATATGTATGTATTTTCTATAATTTTAACAAACGCTCTATAATGTACAGAAATTTGAGAATATTTTAATGTTGTTTGTAGAATTTGTGTATGTATGTATGTATGTATGTATGTATGTATGTATGTATGTATGTATGTATGACAAAGTGTCTTTCTAAGCAATGTATATTAAAGTGATATATTTGATTACAAAGTTTTTGCATTAGAACGAAAAAAAAAAAATAAAATACTTAGGCGTTTTTAGAGATAAAATTTTATTGGTTTCTACTTTGATATACTACACCAGTATATGTGATAATACGTATGCATGTATATGTTTTGAATATATTAATTTAATATGTATTTATTTTATAAAAAAAAGCAATAAATCAGTTGCACTCATTTGTATATTAAAATTATTCTATTAAAAAAAATGTTTATATTTATAAATATATTAGGTGTATATTAGCATTTAGAATAATTTGCACAGGCAATAAACGTTTTTAGTAAAAATATGCTTAAAAACTATAAATATTTGTCAAAGCATCAAATACTGTTTTAGTCATAATTAAAAATATGTAAAATTGTAAATGCAAAAAATAATAAAAAAATACACTAGTTAATACATTCTTGGTATAATTAATATGTTAAATAGTAATATGTTTGTTTTCTTTAAGATTTCTTAATAATAATATTTAAAAAGCATCACAAATTTGTGTTTTTTTATGAGTATTCGTTAAGCAATCAAAAACTTGGAAGCATAGCACAATAAAATTATTTAAACTTAATCTAATCGAAATGCACTTTGAAGAATGTTTAGATGCTATAGAATTGAGGATTACTTAAATTTTATTATTATTATTATTATTGCTTAAATAACAAAAGCAAAGTAGAGAAAAATGTAATATGTATGTAAATTTATTATTGAAAGCTTTAAGCTGCAACTAGTTTGAACTTAATTAATAATCTGTGTATATGTATAAATGTATATAATCGTGTTCTACTTTATAATCTTAATAATGTAAAAATATACATATGCATGTATGTATGTGCTTCATGTGTATAAATATACATGTATGGCTTGCCTAATAATATATTAATTAAATTTCATAATGATGCAGGTATACTAGAAGTATCTATTTGTTTACAAATTTACTTTTTTAGCGTATTTCGTGTTTTTTTTTAATAATTTAATGCGACCAACCCAAATAACATGTGGCATACGTCTATGCATTTAATAATTCTGCGGTCACAAGGCATAACAAATTCAATTAAGTTTTTTGTTATTTTCAAATGCGAACAACAGACAAGGGATTAAATAATTTTAACTGTAAATTCAGCTTACTGCAGAACATTTGAATTATTGTTTACTAAACAAATATTTTTAATCTTACATACTCATATATAATAAATTATTATTATTTTTCGAAACTCAATTCCGCTTAGTGTGTTATTCCGTTATACCTTGTGACTACAGAATTTTCTTTATCTATTTATATGTATAAACATATGTACTAAAATGTGTATTAATCAATAATTTCATATGTTTGTTTGTAAATATTTTTGTTTTCAACGCCGCTACTTTGACCACATTCCTTCATTAAACCGTTACATTATCTCTCAACCGCCATCTTTTATGTCGCCTATTCTATGCGTTCCGTTGTTTATCTCAAAGATTGTACATTGGATTACTAGTTGCATCGAATAATTGTGTGCCCGTCGATTCGATCATTGAACGCAAAGCGATGCTACGCTGCTTCGACACCGCCTTACGCAGTGTGAGTTCGAAAACATTATTCTCATCAATGTTGTCCATTGGCAAGTGATCGCGTGTTAGCAATGTTTCGTTGTCACATAAGTTTGTTGTTGGTTTTTGTAAATCTTCAAATGTCAGTTGTTCATTGACATAGTTGATGCGATTATCGTTGAATTCCTTTAGGAAAGCTTCGGTTTTTTGATGTTTAATCGCTTCGCTAGGAAAACATTGTAAGAGTTCTTCGAATGACAGTTCGGCTACCAGGTTGTTAAGAATTTCTGTGTATAAGAAATTTGAAGTTGGGAAAAAGGGGTTTGTTCTAAGCTGGCTCGTGTGCCTTACCTGTCACATGTGCCTTCCAATTGGGCAACAAATCCTGTTTACTCAAGATTTTCTTCAACAGTGACTCCCAATGTTTGGGTGTAAAGCCATTAGACTAAGAAAAATGTTTTTAAAACATGTAAATATATTTTTCTTAAGTTAAGAAATAAATATTTAAAATATATTTTACAACATATCTATATATAGTTTTGCCGTTTTGTAGCCGCTGAAGCTATTTTCAGTCGAGCTCCTTTAATTTGTGGTGTACATATTGATGCTTCTCCTACAAATGGAGGAACTAACAATTTATTCTAAGTCAGCTCCGAACGGCCGAGGGATTTTTTCGCTATGCTTAATTTTTATGTGAGAAATCAGACCGGAGGGCTTGACATTCTCTATCGAGGGCCGACTGCAACTAATAAAATTAATTTTCTATAACTTTGGATATTCAGCCATACCAAGACAATGATTAATTAGGAGTCGAAAACCATGCTCAAATTTTGTGTAATCAATTTGCAAATATTCTACATATCATTTCCTCGCTATACTTTTCTCATTAGGAATTTTGTTGCATAGTTTAAGGCGCAGTATTTCATATGATAACAATAAGTGTACTTGGAATTCGTTAATTCCTCTTTTAGTTTATTTTTTTTAAATTATAAATTCAGGAGAATTCCTAATTTTGTATACTTTACCTTGCCATACTGCCACATATATTCAGGACAGAAATTTAACATATAATTTATAGCCAAGTGCTTTGGTAAAACAATGACCAGGAAACTATCAATGCCAATCAAGTCCGGCGTCTTTTGAATGAAAGCGATGAACTCTTCAATAATCTCACGATCGATTTTTGTCGAAGCCAAAAGCGACTGAAGCAAAAGAATTTTTATTAAAATTTTATCAGTTTTCTTCTCGCCCAACACGCACCTGTATCTTCAGCGTCAGCGTTAACAGCTCATTGTGCCAACCCAAAAAACGCACTTCACACTCGCCCTCATCGCGATTGGGAAAGCTGAAATCGTCACGTCGAAATGGCGGCAAGCGATTCAGATATTGTGGACGATCCAGCAGACAGGGAATCGGTCGCAAATATGACTTTATATGACGTTCAAACTCCTCGCCACACAATTTATAATCCGGTATGAATGGCACATAGATTATTTTACGCCCATCCGTTACACCTGTTGGTGGCTGCGCTAGGCTGCTATTCACACACTTCGGATAGTAGTACTGTGTACCAGCATTGTGACGCAGCAAATTACATGGCTGTTGTTGTTGTTGTGCGCGTAATTCTTGCAAATGACGTATCATAAATTTAACACATTCCATGCGTAAACTAATGAAATCATCATTGACGGGCTGCTGTTCGAGATCAGCTGATTGTAGATCGGTGATGAGATCACTTAAAGACTTGAGACGGCCCATGTACATGCGAAATAGTATTTTAAGACCTTTCAGATTTGTTTCTGCATCGTTGCTACCTTGTGGCGGCGTCTGTTGGCCATTCGGCGCATCCAATTGTATTGGTGAGAGCGTCATGTTGCGCTTGTAGGGCGAGTTGTGTTCGTGCAGCTGATCATAGACGATGCGATTGCGATTAGTGGCATGCGAATAGCTGCGTTCATCCATAGATGAGCTGGCGCCCGAGTTCGAGTCCGGTAATGAGTTCGCCATCGATTCATTATCGCGTTCGCTATTCAACGAGGGCGCTTTCGAGGATGTCTCATCGTATTCGTCGCCTTCTTGCATGTGCGGCGGTGTATGTGAGGGCATGTCGTGTGGATTTTGCATCGGATTTACATCGAAATAGTCGTAGTAGTAGATCTAGAAGCGAAGAAATGTTAAAGCGTTTGCGCTAGTTTCATGTTTCTACAACTCGCTTACCTGCAGTATATTGACAAACACCTTCTGCGAAGTCTGATAACCCTTATGTCCGATATGCGAGGCGATATAGTTGAGAAATAATTGCAGTATGATTTCCAACGTAATGCTGTGTTCAATGCAGAGCGCGTGTATAAACACATCACTGATAGCTTCAATCAAATCCGTGTTCTCTGTGGCCAACAAAATCGTTTCGGTAAAATCAGAGAATGAAACTATGCCGTGAGCCGCCTGTGTCGCCCCAAGTAGGGGACTGGCTGTCTGCGTTTGACCAAAAGAAGTTCTACTTTTGTTTTGTTGACGACGTGCTGGTTGGGCTGCTGCTGCAGCGGATTTGTGTTGTGGACCGCTTGTTGTTGTGGATGTGCTGGAACCACGATATTTAAGTGGATCGTAATGTTGTGACCCGCGTGGTTTAAAGAGTACGGTGCCATCGTCGAAGAGCACATTCTTATGTTTAATCAAAGCCACAGCCAGTTCCCGACGACTCAGCCGAGCGACGACCTCCTGAGCAAGCAAATAGTTCGACATGCGGCAGGCGGTGACAGCAAGTAAAAGATTCTCGTCGGGATTGCTATCAAAGTAGAAAAGATTGCATTAAAAATAGGATGCGAGTCTTATATTAGTTTTGTGAGATTTTTTTGGTTTCAGCCAGCTTTGGAGCTTAAGTACAGCTGATTTAGAGATTCTCGAGAGAGGAAGAGAGGAAATTAGCCAGCCAACTAGCAACATACAGCATCACCAGTGTCAGGCCGTAGGCAAACGGATATTGAATGAATGACTTTAAGAGCAGAAGTGATCTCTGCGGTAGATGATGTTTACAAAGCTTAAGTACTCCTCCAAATCAATTATGTTTAAGTAGCATCCGGTCATATATTTGATTGTGAAGATCATGTCAAGAGTGAAAAATACACCACCAAACAACAGATGCTGAAGCCGCAAAATATGCCTCAAATTTGTTGAAAAAATGGACCGTTCTTGCCCGGATAAAGTTCAGCTGGTTGCGATACAAAGACACTTCGCCACAGGAGCTATTCTTCGCCTCTTATGACAGGCATGTAAGTCCTTGAATCTCTAACACTCAGACAGGTACCACCCTTCTTAACTTTACGGTCGTTTTAGTTTTTTCTTATAGCTGAGTGTTTCGGAACGTTAATTAAAAGAGATTGTGAAGAAGAAAAATCCCTGATGAATCTTTCCTAGCATTACTCTCGAAATAGGCTCTATATACCTGCATTAAACCAAATTTATCACGATTTTGAGCTTTGATCAATGATCTAAGTCCTACTAGGAAAGTGGGAAATTATTTCTAATTGTATACGGTCCTATATTTCAAATCAACCCCTTTGAAACTTACAGTTTATCTAGATATTTGAGATAATTGACCAACTCTCCACTTATAGTATCGGCCACCACCGGCGAGTTTAGCATGATTTGTGGTATATTCGCCGGCGAGTTTTTGATAAACATATTAAGAAACTCCAATGACAAAGGCACTTGTGGGTAGCCCTGTTCGATGACGCGATTGGGTGTGAAAAATGGCTTCACCAACTGATGGAGAAAGGCGGCCAAGAGCCGATCTGTGCCCAAGCCGAGTAGGAACATTTTCACTGTGTAAATTAGACCAACCAATTGCGTCTCATCAATCACCGGCGAATTGGAGCAGTTACCAAATGGTAGTTGCTGCTGTTCGATGAATGCTGGCTGTACATAGCAGTTGATGTAGTTACTGTAAATGTCCGCAAGTTGTAGATTACACATTTTATAAAAGCCTGTGGCCTGCAAATAGACTTCTTTCTTGCGAGACCTGTGAAATTAAAATTGAATTAGTAAGAAATCGAATAAGGACGAAAAACCTCACCGTATAGAAAAATCTGCTAGTTTACGACAATTCTCTACGAATTTGCCCCGCAATTGCTGCTCACGCTCCTCCAACAACTGTTCGCACTGCAGCGAGAGACTCAAGCGCAGCATGACGTGCGCCTCCTCCATAAGATCGTAAAAATTTGTGCTACTAGCTGCGCGATATGATTCCGCGATCGCTTCCAAATCCTCAATGACATGCTCCACCGGTGGCACCTCCAAGTTATAGAGCGTCCATTCGTTGAGTTGTGTTTGTGGCGCTGTATTGTTGTTGCTGCGAAGTAAATTCTTTACCTTAGACTCACCGAGTATGCGTGCTGCTATATTGCGGCCGCCAGTACTGCTGACAGAGCCACCACCACCGTTGGTACTGCGTCTCTTGTTGGCCTCGTTATTGGCCAATGCGCTGTTGCTAATCAACACCAAATTATTACGATTCACACAAACATACTGCACGTGCATAAAAGCGCAAAGGCCGATGACAGCTATGGCCGAGTTGACGTCGGGGCTAGATTCCTCTGGGAAGAGACCGCCGAGTGTGGGATATTCAAAGCGATTGTTGTAGAGTTTATGGCCGATACGTGATGTATGCGTCTCGACGGACTCTGTGGTGATGGCGTATATGACATAATCGTTGATGTGCACCCTCAAAACGGGCGCGGTGAAGGAGTATGTCGCAATGGGCTTTTCATTCTCATTATACCACTTGCCTAGGAGAGGAAAGGAAGAATAAAATTTGCAAGTCAAATATAGCTTACTCTGCAACATTTGACCTACCCTGCGCACAAAACTGATACAAATAACCGTCTACGCTGCTGGCCACCAAGAGCGCATAACCGACGCAACTCTGATGTTGGCCCGACTTGAGCGTGCGTCGATTGGCATGTTTGGTTGTGGTCACAGCTCCAGGCACTTGCTGGTTGCCCATATCGTATTCCGAGTCCTCCAACCCATCCTCGTTCGGATTCCGTTGATAAATCGCCTTCAAATCCATGCAACGCAAAATATCCACGATGCGACCATTGGGCTCTGAAGACTTCATGCAGATCTGTAGTAGCTTACGCACATCATACTGCACGCTGGTGTCCTCGTTGTAAGCATAGGCCATGCCGCCGTGGTTGGTGACACGCTGCAAAAAAAAAAATTTAATAAAATTTTTGTCAAAAGCTTACGTCGCCTTCCATCACTTCACTCACCTGCACATTCATAGCTTTCGCTTCATTAACCAGCTTAATTTTGATATCGTTAGCGCGTGCTGGCATAATAATAATCTCCTGTGTATCACCAACACAAACTCCCCCAACACCGCCACTACCACCCATAGATGACGAACCCACACCGCTCCCAACACAACCACCGCCCATACTTAAAGCTTCACCCAACTCCCATTGAGACTTTAAATCCACTTCGAAATCACGTCCGCATGCTGAGTTCACAATACGCGCGACATTAAAATCGATTGGCGTACGCCCCGGAAACCCTGCTGTGCCAAATGGACGCCCACTTGAAGTCGTCTCCAACGAATCTGTTTCGAAGCTATTGTGACTAGAGGGACCTGCACTCATTTTACTCATTACGCTCGATTCCGAACTCGAAATAGCCTCGTCCACATCCACATCCGCCACATCATCTAAACAGACACCGACAGCACCGCCCCCACAAATGCCACCACCACCATAATCATTATCTAATGGACTGCAATGCGCGCCACCAGCAGCGCTACTGCCCACCACATCTACCACTTTGAAAGCCACGCAGTAGCGATTATTCATTGCAGCAATGACATTCTCGGCGAGGCAGAGACGCAGCGGCACAAAGTTTAGATTTACGAAAAATTTAAATGGCAAAAAGTCAATGTAGGAGAAACGTGGCTGAGTGGTCTCATGTATGCATTGGGTATACTCGTACAGATAGATGCGTTCCTTGCTGCTCACGATAATATTGCCCGATGTTTGGCAGCACTGTATTATATCGGGTGGACTACGGAGCGGTAACTCAATCACGTCGATGCTCTCCACTAGTGGTGCTTTGGGCGTCGTCATCGAGGCGATACGTATAGTAATGGGCAAATCGATGAGTTTAGCTTCGGGAAATTTCCAAAAATTGGCATAAATACGCACAAACATTTTGGTATCATCTTCTGGGCAGATAACGGTATTATTACTGCTGCTTGTGCAGCTAATACCTGTGGTGCTCGTGTGCACGGGACTGCCGAGTGTCTCCTTCTCAAGTGTGAGCAGATATTTTCCTGAGACACAGGGCGAAAGAGGAGAAAAAATTCAAGAACCAAAAAAATTATAAGAAATGTTTTTTTTATTAATCGATTTTCAAATTGTTTCATAAATTAAAAAATTTTTTGCGTAAATATTGTTCTGATGATAAATTCAAAACACTTCTACTATCTATATAATGACAGTATTGAAGAAAATAACAAAGTATTCAGTTATCGGAAAACAAATTATTATGATTTCACATTTTAGCCATTTAATCGATTGAATTAAAAATTTCACTACAACATTTTTTTTCGAAATTGATTAAAAGTTTATCGATTGTTTCGGAGTATAAATTTATATTTTTTACAAGTAATATTTTTGTATACAAACGTTTATCGAGTTAATATCGATTCTATTAATGAACTAGTTATCGAATTTAGACTCGATAAAAATCGAGTTTCGATAAAATAACTTTTAAGTAAGCAAGAGTGCTGCTTCTATATCTATAGTGTTTAATTATTGTGATTTTATAATTCTTAAAAGGGATTTCAATAATTTATCGCAAAACTTACAATGCTTGCTAATATTTTCAATAATACTTTATACCAAAATCAAAAAGCTTAGGAAATGTATTAGTTTGTGTTTGGGGTTTTTTTTTATTCCAACTCACCTGCTTCACAATAAATCAAATGCACCACCTCGCCCACCGTTGCCAGCGTATACTTTGTGGGTAGCCGCTCATCTGCGGCCGCCTGAGCCGCAGCCGCTGCCGCTTCAGCCTCTGCAGCGGCATACTCAGTCGCCGTCGTAATTGCATTCAAATCGATGCCATTCAATTCATTGCGGCGTTGCTTGCCACCGATATCGTAGATCTCAATAAATTGTTCAGCGCTGCTGACTGCAATGCGACTAGAATCGATTAGCGAGGCGGAGAGTATGTCACCATTCAGAGAGTATGTGTGCTGCTTGGCAAAATTATAGGCTTGCAGAATTTTCACCATTTTTTATTTGAAGTTTTTCTTTTTGTGGCCGAAATGTGCTGGAAATTATAATTTAAATTGTTTTGTTAAATATACGTTTACACAACTTTTATTTAATTTTCTTTGGCTCTATTTGTATTTTATTTTTTTATATTATTTCATTTAATATATTTTTTTTTAATTTAAATTAATTTATCTTATTTTGTTTTAATTATTTGTATTTTAACTAAAATCAATTTAATTAATTAGTATTTTTTTATGTAATTAATGTATATTTCATTTTTTTGTTTTAATTATTTCAGTTTTTCATATTATGTTGTTTAGTATATTTCATTTTATTTAATATTTTTTATTGTACTTTTATTTTATTTCTCTTCAATTTATTCCAATTTTTTCTATTAAATTCTGCGTATTTTTTCATTTCAATCCTTTTTTTTATTTCTTGCTTCATTTTATTTCAATTTATATCACTATACAGATTTAATTAAATTTTTTTTCTTTATTTATATTAATTTTTTATTTTCTTTTATTTTTTATCTGCATTTATTTATTTTTTATTCTTTCAATTCATTTTGAATTTGTTATATCAATTTGCTTACCTTGTTTAATTAAATTTAATTTTTTTTATTTTACCTTATTTTATTTTGTTTTATATTTATTTTCTTTATTTAACTCAATTTTATTTAATTTTATTTTATTCCAACTTATTTTATCTTTTTTAAATTTCTCTTTATTTCATTTTATTTAATTGTAAATTGATTTACTTTATTTTTGTTGTTGTTTGTTTAATTTTTCTTTATTTAATTTTATTTTAGTTCTACTTATTTTACATTTTTATTTTCCATTATTTTCTTTTTTTTGAGTTCTTGATAACTTTAACACACTTCCAACGCCCACCGAGTCGCGAGTGACTTCATGCCATGGTGACAACGTTTAAAGCAGCATTGGTCAGTCTATAGGCACACGCTCGAGTCATACGGGCGCGTCTCATGTGAGGCACATAACTACATACATACATACATGTAGATATGTATCTAGGTATTTATGTTCTTAATAAATTCTAACAACAAAAACACTGTACATATGACAAGCAATTTGCACGACAACGTAATCCAAAGCTCCACTGCACACACAATCACCGGAACCCCTGAAGAAGAACAAGAATACAACGTTTTTATATTGTATTTTTGCAAATGACATCGCACAGCACTATGTGTCCACCACGGAGCACGGAGCGAATGACAACTGTGTACTCAGCACTGGCAAATCCCAAAATGAAGTGTTGAGCTGCTGACATTTAACGTCGCCTCGCTTATTGTATCGTGTTTACCTTCCAAGCAGGCCCACTGAAAGCAAAACACACACGCACACTCACTCGCTGTTGATAAATGGAGCGAGTGATATTAAAAAATCAGCTCAAGTATGGCGTAGTGGACGCTTAGACAGACACACACGTGCATATATGTATGTACATATATAGAAGCTACAATAAACAACCAACCAACCGGTCAAGTGGTCACCAGCCACCCACTCAGTTGTCTATTTAAGCATAGTAAACTTGAAGACGCATACTTATGCATGAATGTAAGCATGTTGATGTGCTTCCGAATGCAAATAGAATATAATGGAAGTTAAAAAAAAGACACTCAACTTCATTCACAGCGCGTTCTAACGCTCATTCTAACGGTCTTGGTTTTTTGTTGTCTTTATAGTCAAATTATAATTTATCATGTGTGTGTGTGAAATTAAATTGTTATTAATTGCATGGCATACAGGGTGGTCTTTTCGCTTTTCAATGTCTTCCCTCTTCATCTGAATACGAATGGTAACTGAGCCATTAATTAATTTTTTACCCGGTAAAGAACATATTCCTTGTCTTTGTCGAAAACTTGGTCAAAATCGTTTACTTCATTTGGTAGTCTTCGGAAATTTTCACCTTACCTTAACACAGAAGGAAAGGTGTAGATTCGCTTGAGCAAATCAACTACTGAAGCTCTATTCTTGGAAAACGGCGCCTTGATTAATTTCAAGCTGGGATTTCGATCTTGATATTGCGTACTGTTTTGGAAATTTTTTTCATACGGCTCAAAATATAAAAGGCTAAACCTAAGAAAGGAGCCCAGTTCTATACCATACTCTCCCGAAAGGAAGTTTTGCGCTGGAAAGTTGCGTAGCGCCGAATGCAGTTACATATGCCCTCACTTAGTTCAGTGTGTCGCCAGGTGATTTTACTTGAAAAGCCTGAGACCGCATGAGTATTGGCTATAAACCAGTTGTAGTGGCCAGTTCTTGAGAGGGTACCGCTCTTATGAATTAGTGAAGCCCTGGCAACTACACTAATCGAGATTCTGAACGCCCTCTTGGATTTATTACCAATTGACTTTACGGGGTTGAAATTTGATTGTACTGCAGTAAGCAGATTCACAGATTGCTAACTCGGTATAAAGAGCCTCAAGGAGTCTCAGGAGAGGTTTTTTCATGGAAAGGAAAAAAACATATTTACAACTATGGATCTCCATACAGGATATCTTCTACTCAAATAGACTAGCCTTACCATCAAATACATTCTGCAGTAGTTGTATAGATGCGGAGGAACCTGAAAGCTTAAGGCACATAACGATTATTCCGCGCTTGAGAAGCGGCTAGCGGTTAAATAGACCTAGGGGCGACAGGTCTTAGAGACTAGTGCCAAGTAGCAGAATATAAAATACGTACAATGAGAAATTTTTTCAAACTTATAAATTTCTTGACTAGCAAACAGGAGCTCTAGGGTTCCTCAGTGGTTCAATGACCTAAGTGTGCTGTATGCCGCACAGCCAGTTCCAAATAATTTAACGTTCCCTGAGCTGAATCTCCATTGATTCAATCAACTGAGTCACTAACTCAACGAAGCTGAGTGAGGACTGTAGGCAAAGGGAATCAATTTATTAAACTAAAATAATAAAAAAAAAAATAGTAAAAAATTGTATCATAACCAAAGCACACTGTATGCCGCATCTATATTCCAACGGGCTAAAAATACCAATACATAACACGAACTTACATACATATTCGGAAACACTTTGTCGAAAGTAACATAATACTCAAGCCAAACGAGCAAAATTAGGTCAGTAAATAACATAATTGCGGTTATTTGCAGACCTTTAGCGATACAAGTTTTGGATTCTCAACCCAGCGCCAAGTAAAAAATAAACTCAAATTTCAACACAACAAAAATGAATGACAAAAAACTATGTAAAACATTAAATTAATTAAAAATAAAAGGCGCGCAGTGTAAAAGAAGTACATAATGCCCAACATTAAAACTATTATGAGCCAAATGCCCAATGTTGTATAATGAAATATGTTTGCACGTACACGTATGTAAGTAGAATATTAGGGCAATCGGAAAGTTTTTTGCGGCTTATAAATTTTCAAACTCAGTATAAAATTTATAGAAAAAAATATAAAGAAAAATATGAAAATTTATAATAATGTCAGCACTAAATTAAATTTCATTAATTTTCGAATTTTACGCAAATATTTTATATTATTATTATATGCTCGTTGTTTTTCGCTGTTACAACAATCAACTGAGGAGCAATGTATGCCATAGGCAAAGCGTCTTGAGTTTGGGTTTCGACTTCTCTAGCAAAAAAAAAAAATAAGAAATTGAAATGCCGTCGTCTCTCATAAAAAACTATTATACATGTGGATGTGCCTTAAAATTGTAAAATCAATATCTAGGTTTACACCACAAGTTGGAGAAGTTGAACTGAAAGCAGCTCAAGCTAATATTTATTCAATCATTTTATTTCTTTTCCCATCACCTACGGAAATTCAAAAGTTTTTTATTTCTAAACGTTCTTCGATTAAAAAAAAAAAATATTTAGTAAAAGCTTATAAGAACATCCTAATGTATGTAATTGGAATTATTCTAAATAGGTTATGGTGACCATAAAAGCAAAAATAAATGTGCATACATATGTATATCTGACTAAAATTAGTTTTGTATAACTAATTGTAGATACATATGTACATATATTTGTATGTAAACGTAAAATAAATGTGAATGACATGCGAAATGAGCGATGGTAAGTAGTTCGTATGAATAATTGCTGGTAGGCACGCATTTTTCCTTATGGTAAGCCTTTTTCTTGCCCGCCATAAGAAAATCTACCAAGTCTGGCATGAAAAAAAAAAATCATAATAATGTCATCAAAACAAGGATGATATGTGATTGAGTTGAGGTAGACATAAATGGAAATGTGTTTCCTGTTTAAGGTGGGTCAAGTTAATGAATGTAAAATATTGCTACATATATTGCTTTTGGAAGAATTTGAGAAAAATAATGATTTATTCTGATTAAGTTTTTAAAAGCATAAACTGACGACAATAAACTAAAGATTATGGACGAAAATGAATAGCTTCATTTGCACTGTTTATGAGATTTAAGATGCATACATATCCGTTATTTATTAATTTTTTTATTAAAAAAGAAATAGAAGACTTACTGAAAATCAGATATATATATGTTTTTTTTTTTTTTTTTTAAATAGTTTCAACAGTAAAAATTTGAGTTTTATATTTTTCAAGATAAAGTCAAAGAAAATAAAAAATATTGAGACCTCTGAAAAACCCAAAAAATATATTTATCGTTTTCAAAAAAGCACTTTCTACCAAAAATATTTCCTAAATAGCGTTAATTATAGTTTCTACGAAAAAATCATAAAATCGCCGCTAACGAAATTTAGAAAATAAAATTACACAAATGTATTTGTGTGTGTGTGTGAACAAAAATCACCGATTGACGGTTAATGACACAGAACGGAAACGGAAAGGAGCCATGCTGAAGTCAGTGAACGCACAAGTTCACGGCTAATACATTCACACACGCACACACACACACAAACGCACGAAGAAAGCCACTATGGCCGGTAAAATACCAGTGATGACCGATCGAAGAGTGAAGGTGTGTTCACGAGACCTCGTTTATATTTGTTTACATATATATGTGTATATGTATGCACAGCTTCGTAAATACGCATGCATACAAGTGTATATACATATGCCCGCGTATGTGGCTATAACTGAGAGTCCTTTAGCTGTTTTTAGTGCTTGCAAACACCCACTTAACACCTTCAAAACTGGTTAACATTGATTTTCTAGGGCAATTGCTAGTGATTTGCGCTTGTAAGCTTGTAAGTTGAAAACAAACTAACACGGCAAGGCGGCATTTTATAGTTGTTTTTGGCATTCTCTCATGTGCACCCGTACTGGTGCTGAGATTTTTCCAACTAATTTGCTCGCATTTTTTGCAAGCGAAAAATCAATAAGTGAATTTTGTAGCTTTAAAATCGCTGCCAGATTTTATATAACAGTGTATTTTTCAATTTGAAATATTTAAAGAAATAAAATGTATTTTTTTAAATAGAAAAACGCACACAAAACACAACTTACGTAGATTTTCATCTAAATATGTATCTAATTAGTTACTGAATTTGTTTTCTAATTTCCAAATATTAACTTCCGTTTTGGATTCTTTATACCCTCTGCACGCACTTAAAAATTCATTAAAATTTTTTTTTATACACACACACGCGCACACTCAATTTGTGCTCACATTTCTTACAATTAAAATTAATTAATTTTTAATTAAAGTCTTCAGCATTTAAACTTCTATTATTTGCTCTCTGTGCACTTTCTGTATTGTGTGTTTTTTGTTTTCTGTTTTGCATTGCATTCGCTTTGGTATGTCAAAAATGATGACAACAAATTTTTGACAGCGCCCTTTTAGCAGTTTATGTTGTGGTCATATTCGTAGCACGCAGTGTTGTATTTTTTAGTAACAAAAACTAAAAAGAAATTAAATGGAAAAATTGTTTATATCGATAACACAAACTTCTTCACAGATTTTAAATTTGAGTTAAAAAAGTAAATTAATTCTTATTTAAGCAAAACTCCGCAGTTTTCCTTTCTTCTTTTTCCAGTTCAGTAAAGCCAATCAGTATTTGAGCTAATCTCTACAAAACCATAACTTTTCGGTACTTGGGCTTAAAGTCAAAAGCTCTCCAGCAGCTTTTTTCCCCATAAGAGACTTATGAGGACTGCAAGGACATCTTTTGTTTCCCATCCTAATCTGTTTTAGCAGCACACCAAAAACAAAAAGACTCTATTTCTGTAGTTCAAATATTTTGCATCTTAATTGCTGATTTTTAGCCAAAAATAGGGCATAAATCTGCTAGAAAGTTGTAATTTCCCAATTAAGTGACCAGGCATTGCAGTTGTAGGCTTTTAAATCGTGATCGTTAAAACGTTTCCAGTTGTCGTCACAAAAAGTGCGGCGCCTTTTTTGGCTTAGTGTGATTTTTCATTGAAACTGATTTTGTACGTGGTGAGTCCCAAACCCTACGCATAAGCACAGAGACTCGACTTTTCATTTAATCCCCAATGTAATGTTTGTTTGCCAACCAGAGGGAACTTGCTTCATGAACGCAAGTGGGCAGTTGTCTGAGTTTTTTATAAAAAACTGTTTCTGCCCATTCCCAGGCAGTCAAAAACTTGTCCTACTAACGTTGGCTTTCTCAATTCAAATTTATAAGAACTTCGACTTCTCACGTACTCGGATATATAACATATTATATTATATATGTATAATTGGTGCATACCTACAGTTTATTCTAAGCCGTTTCCGAACAGCTGATGGATTTTTATTTCATATCAAAAATAAAACCATTCCCTGCCGAGGGGCAACTGCGATTAGAAAAACTAATTTTCTATAATCTCGGATGTTGAACGGATCACAATTCGAAGGCAGTGCTAACCACTAGGCTATGGCTGTTCCTCCAAGCCAATTCTAAATGGCTGATAGAATTTTAATTCAATGTCATGAATGCCCTTGGAGGTCTAGACATTTACTGTCGAGGGCCGATGGCATTTATAAAATTTTCATTCTAGAATTTTTGATGCTGTTCTGGTCAGGACTCGACCATTTGACTATTCACTCGGCTATTGCGGCCATAACTTCAACTTATTACAGACAGAAATTAACTGAGCATGTGTCATGTTGACCGCTACTGGAAATTTTTAACATCTCCAGGCAGCTAAACTTCAAAAACTCGTTCTGTAATAATGTGAAGTGAAATGTTTCAATTTCGCGATGAGATCTAGCTAACACATTGCCTTTTCTCAATAACCTGATTTTATGAGCTGAATTGAGCAGCCTTGTATTTTCGCAAGTCTACGAATTTCATTTCCAACTTTTCTGGCTACAGTTCACATCGTCAGACATCCGCTTAAATGTGCATGCTTACCTGCGGAAATCGTCGTTATTCTGAGCTATCGTGAGCGTGCAGAGCGTGACTGAGGGGCTACCTGCCTGCATGGTTTCTTTGTTGTATTTTGAAGATACTCACAGTAAATTTCCATTCGTAAGGGTGTATTTTGGTTATCACTTATTGTTTGCTCTGCGACTTTCTCTGTGTTGATTTTACTTGCTGTACTCGTAAGTGTTCTCACTGAGGCAATATGCTAGCAGGAAGCCTAAACATACACGTACATGTGCACATACAAATATCTGCACTGTAATGCTCACAGGCTGGTTGGTATAACATGTATTTCTTCAAAATTAGCGAGCAAAATTTCGGTTTGAGGGTTCAGTGTTAAACAGATTTCTTGTGCATTTTCTCTTTTGTTGTCGTTTGCAAAAAAAAAAGTTGTTGTTGTGTTACATGAGAAGACTTTCTTTAGCAAATATTATATTTTATATGGGCAGAGCACATTTTGAGTATCGTAGAAACATTCTTAAATTTATAGAAATTTATACTCAGAGGATTACAAACGCTTAGCTACTTGCCAAATAACTCGTCGTACAGTGTTTTGAAACATAAAAATGAGACGCTCGTATGGCTAAGTACCAGATTTTTACTTCAAACTTACTTCATCCAGTTCATGCTAGAAAATGGGAACTCTTGCTAGGTTAAGTTAGATCTCTCAAGATCTCAGTTAGAAACAGGCTTGTTACTCGGTGTTATCTGACGTGAGATTCTGGGAACGCGCTGCTGAAACGGGTGGGGACTAAAGGCCAAGGGTTTTTAAATTAATTCCCTTTTAATGTACTATCCTCAGTTGCGCCAGAATTACTCAAGACTCATGATCAGCTCAAGTTCAGCCTTAGCTATAGGTAGTCATAGTCGGATTTCGATGACGCCATGTCCATTGTTTTGTCTTTGCCTCAATTTCTGCCGACTAGCAACTTGAGACTTTCTGAACTTTGGTTACATGCATAGTGCATACCATTGAATGGCTCTTCCGTTAACTTTGGTTTATTGACAGGTCGGAGAGGGAACCGTTTATTTTCGAACGGAGGATATCAACATCATCAGTTCAACAATAGTCCCTCTGTTGGTGAGGTGTATTGTGAGATGTAAAAATTACGCCATAATGGAAGAAGGTCCCCTCGCTGTGCAACACCTTATTTCATTTTTACAAGTCAGACTCTAACGCCAGCCACTTAAACCCGCTTTGCTCAACTGGTAAAGCTCTTTGGGGAACAGGCGCAAATATTTATTATGTTATATATCTTTCCATCTTGAGCTATGGTCAGCTAAGAATACTTTTGGGCTTGCTGTCGAGATGCAAAATACTCAAACTCTTAGACATTAGTGAAAGTAATAGAGCCGGACCCGGTGGGCAAGCTACCGTGTTTTTCAATTAGTTAATCCAAAGAAGATCGATGATATGACCCACGATCTGTGGAAGGTTACTTTCTAATCAGCTTAAATATTCCTGAAAAACTGTGAGGTTGAGTGAGTTATTTATTAGACTACGACCCACTGTGCGCTGTGTGATGGCTCGAAACTGTTTAATTTAATGCATTGTTTTGATGCCAAAATGTTTACCGCTATACCGCATACATGCATACATACATGCGAAGGTAGTCGCTCATACATGTGGCATGTATAAATGAAATTGCATTCCACTTAAAATACGTATGTATTGTACATTCAGTTATGACGTATAGTAGCGTTTTGTATCTTATTTATCTATTTATTCGCTCATACATACAAACATATATACATACATTCGCCTATCTCATCCATAACTACCACCGCACTACATAATCACGCTCCTAAGCATTTTTGAGATTTTTCTCTGTTTTGATTTTTTCTGAAAAAAAAAAAATGTTGAAGAATATTTGCGCTTGTACCTCTGCTCACGACTTTATCATGTCGGCATGAAAACTCATTATTTTTTCTGTGCGAGTACTTTCTTGATTGAGATGTCAAGAGGCCGCAGGAGAATCATACATGCGTTCAGCCTGCTCTGTCTGGAGCACGCTAGAGATGAGTTTGAGAACGCACCACATTCAATGACAATAGGATTTTCGGTCTTGCGGATTGACTTAAATTGACGAGCAACAAGGCAGGCCAATAGTAGGGAGTAGTGAGGCCGTCACTAATGGAGATGGCTGGCTAGCTTGGTTGGTGGTTTTTTGTGTCTATCTCGAAAGAGTTTTTGTAAATGCAACGCCAATATTTTTTTTGTTTTTTGTATCCGCGCAACTCTCTGTCACTTCGACGGCCGCTCCGTAGCAATGAATATTGTCGTCGACTCGCTCCCATTACAAAACAAGTGCGAACTCATTGGCGTTATTGTCGCTTTCGTTCCCATAAAAACACCAAACGCTTACAGTAGAGAACCGTGAAATTTTGTTGGCTTCTGTATGCCAAAGTATGTAGTTAGTATTGGTCCAAAGCGCACGAGATGGCACGGCTAATATGAATTTTGCGTAGAAAAGAAAACGTGTTCGCTGGAAGGTGTTGGTTCGTTGCTGTTTTGTTGGCTAAGGTGGCGAACAGGTGTTTGAAAGTTGGCTGACCAAATGAAAAGGCGCAACAAATCGGTTCATATACGCATGTAAACAAATGTTGTGAAATTCTTTTGAAGAAAGGAAAATGTATGCAATAAATATGATTGCAAGCTTATGCAATAAGTTGGAAAAAGGAGACTGCATTTATATTTCGTGACGACTGTGCTGAATGTGTATGTTGTGTATGTGTTTTATGGCTATTTCGAGGCAGTGCCACGCCGCAACACCCCCGCAAAACCGCAACATCGCCAAAACCTCCAGTGAATATGGGCGCATTTAAGCACAGGCATCAGTATGCTTGCACGTGTGTACGTATGCCTGCGTCAATGCCTTGCAAATACATGCATACATATGGATATATGTATGTAGCAAAGTGATATGTATTATTTTGAAAATATTTTAGGTGCCCACCAACTGAATGGTGCATTAGTTTTCAAATTCGTTTGTATATACCAACAACATATGTACATACACATCTACAAATTAGCATATGCGCTTGCATACATATGTACACATCAACTTTAGACTCGAATAATTGCATTATTTATGCATTTTACACTGAAAAACTTTATATTTTGCATTAAATTTTTATTGCGAATTTCATTATTATTGTCGGTGTGTGTGTTGTGTGTGTAGAAATCGCCTTGTTGGCAATTCATGCGTTCGACGTTCATGCTTGAAGCTTTTAATATGAACTATTCCATATGCATATGCGCATATGTATATAATATGTATGTCCAATCTACACTACATTCGCTATCTGTAATGGGTACAATCATGGCTACATACATACATATACATATACATACATGCACATACTCATACCAGCAGTTACAAGTTCATATTTATACAGTGACTCAAAAAATTGATCACGCTGGGGCTTGTAACTACCACCCCCATTATGTCAGGTTAGGATCTATCTTTCCATTGGGCCTGCATAGGACTTATTGTGATTCGGCTTCGCCTTACAACTATTTCGAATCTCTAATAAGCCTCATTAGATTCATCACTTTAACGTCGGCTACCTTCGGTAGGCTATCCACACGTAGGGTTTCAAAATTTCGAAACCTAGCGTTACCCATCAGGAAAGAAGTGTGATCATCATCCTTACAGCTTCTCCTACAGCGACTCTTACTACTTTGGATATGTGCCCTCCACGAGTATTAGCAACGACCTGTATCCTTCTAAGCGTGCTATTACAGATTCTTCGCATGTTCCGGTAAAATGGAATGTCACGATTGGAATGGTGGCCATAACTTTGACATGGTACCGGACTTGAGCAAGCGTAGATCAGTAAACGGTTGTGCCGAGGGAGCGTTCGTTTTTCTTCATGTTTAAGCCAGTTGGAAGTAAACCTAAGCTTAGTTCATTTTCCGATAGAGACTGGGCGAGTTCAAAAACGTCACAATACTTTGTAATGATGCGGTTGCGAAACGGAATGCATGATATTGTATGGTTGCTTTGCAACAATTTCTTAAGTTCATCACATCACTAAATATCTTTCGGAAATACTCTGCTGCCATTCTTGCAGCCATGCAGCCCCACACTATAATTCAACCACCCCTAAACGCCTTTTCTAAACTCTCAAAATGTTTTGCTACAGTCTCATCTGACCATACAAGTTCCTCCACCACATTTGAGCTCCAATTCTGATATTTTTAACTCAACTGTTGGCAAAGTTCGTCTAGCAGTATCTGCTGGATCTTTGATATTACCGTGTTGCTTATTTTCAATGGGTTTAGGAGTTTTCAAACTTTCCACAAGTTTTGCTCCCAACTCTTGATAAGTCTTGCCGTTAGAGATTAATTTCCAGCTTGAACGCATGACTTATATTCCAGTTGTGTTTGCCCATGTTTGTTGACAATTTTGTGAGTGACAGTAAATGCCGATATGTACATATGTACATATGTAAATTGTATTTCAATTTTACCCACTAGAATATTCGTTCGTTTGTTCACTCATTTGTCGATTAGCTCTTTGCATGTTCAAAGGCAATGTTTCTTTTTATTTTATTTTATTTAACATCGTCTCTAACTTCGGCAATCCCTATCACATTCACTCAGTATTCATTTAGGAATTCACAAAACCCAACACATACATCCATACAATATACTCGTTCGAGGCCACATTCAGCTGAGCTCGGCACTCGCAATAAGTTGTCTTCACTGCTTTCTGCAATGAGTACTATACATATATTTTGCCATTCCCTCTAACCCCACCACACCGCCCACCAATATGAGGCACACGAGCGGACATGAGAATGAGACAAAACATTCGTTTTCTGCGTACGTGTTTAGCTGGCTATGAAAAGAAATCGGTGAGCTTGTTGGAGCAGGCCCCAACTTGTTATGGTTGATACGAGTATTCGTATGTATTTATGTATATGTGCATGCACGCATGTATGTATGGTGTGTTATGTTCGCCCTCTTCACTTTGTTGCTATCGGATTTGAATTTCTAGCTTTAGTAGTGCTGGTATTTCGTATGCAGCGAAACAATACCAATCGCCGGGGTTTCATACATATGTATGAATATGCACATTTGCTCGTAATCATGTGATATGTAGGTAGGTGGGTAGGTTAAGCTCTTGTATTTTAGCTTTTGTTTGTTCGATTGGTGGAGAATGGCGACTAGACGCTGTTAGCTCTCGGTGCTGCCATCCATTTGATAGCGGGAAATTGGAATAGGTCTGAAATGAGGCTTCTCTTAATTGACTTAAGCCAGTATTATTCGGGTCTCTCGATCAGCTCGACCTTTTGGCCTGTAATAGACAATGTTTGGATTCCAATAACGCCATTCACAGGAAAAGAGTTGATGAAGTTGTTGGCCGACTCACGTTCAATGGCGTTTAAAGCCTGTCCTCCCCGTAGTCCGTGTTTTTGTTGTAACCGCAAAAATATTTCTCAAAGTAATTTTTGGGGAATGTTGCGGAAGTGACAGTCTTTGGCCGGATAAAAAATCCGGGTCGTTCCGGTAAAGAGATCCGACTGTCTTGGGAACTATTGGATTTTACTCGCTTCTTACGACAGGCATGCTCTACCGCGGGTAAATTCTTGAAACCCTAACCCGCAGGGGGTGTAGTTCATGTATATGTACATATATGTACGTCAAGCCCGTCCTATATCTCGTTCATTTAGTCTCTCAAGCGAGTCGGGGAGTATGTGAAATGTATTCAAACTGACCACTGGGCCCGTTTCAAAGCGTGGTCTTTAACCCACTGCCATAACAGGCACTTGATAGTCAGACGAAAAATTCCATTGCAAATACAATAATAAGCATTTTAACAGTATCACTTCGATGATCATTTAAGACTATGCCACAATGCAAAAACTCAAATAACAGATAGCAATCAGCCAGCAGCCAAAGTTATGCGAGGACTTACGCTACTCACATTAACGTCATGTCTTTAGAGGTATAGTTTTTCGTGTCGGACCGATGACATGCAAAATTGGTTTTGCGTTCCGGTGCCTTTCTGAAGCTAAGAGACTCTGCTTCAGCATAGATCGGTGTTACATGCATACATGCACATGTATAATGTGTGCATGTATGTAGGTACATATATGTATACATATCTGTACATAAGTGCTTACATTTGTATGTATGTATGTATGTATGTATATGAATTGTGTAAGATATTCAAATAATTTCGTGAAAAATAAACCCGAAAATCCTTTAACCTCACAACACCACAACACCACCGTGAAACTCGTCCTACCACTGTCACGAAATATCTAATCCAATTTCAGGTTATTTAAGGAACCATGCGATTATGTAGGTGCTCACATGATTTAAAGTTTTAAAGAGCCGTCTCTTAAGTAACAATTACACAGGAGAGCTTGTGAGAAGAGTGATCTACTTTCAATGAGGAAAGTGCAGATTCAAATTTTCTTCCTTTATTCATTCATTCATTAAAATTTGATTATCTTTCAAACCCAATTAGAATTATTCAAGTTTCTCCTCTCCAACGCATCTATCTGGTAACGCTCTCAGTATATTGTAGAAAACTGTACTTTGAGAAGAGCGGCCATCTTGCTCTATTTACAAAACGTGTACTCAAAAACAGTACAAAAACAACAAACTGCAATAGCAAAGCAATGTACGATTAATATTTCAGCGTGTAGAGGTATAGAGAAAAAAAACTTGTATTGTTAAGCTGACAAGAGATACAGATTCGTTGAGGGTTGCCAAGAGTGTAAAAAATGAAAAATCTCTTACGTCAGTATGTGAAACTTAACTTAACCAGATTGGCCTGGTTAGACACCTTGTTTTCAATTGATTTTTTAAATTAAGGCTTAGGTTTTAAAGAAATTCTAATTTTAAAATCGACAAAAAGCATAATTTTGTGTTATAGTTTACAGGAAAGAAGGCGACTAATCGAGCTAATAACTAAAATTACCTAATGATCTAAACAGGTTATGTCATGAAAGACGATGCTGTCAAAGAACCACCACCATTCCTACCCCATTTTTCCAATCCTCATGCAGAGGAATTTTTTCGCTCACAATACCATTTACTTTTTGTGAAAGGTACTTGGCTTACATGTCAGATATTTTATTAAACAGAATATACACGTACAAATATGAATAGGTCAATCAATTATTTAATTTTTATTAATTTTTCAAAGCTGAAATATTACCTTAGTGGTGGGCCTGAAAATTTAATTTTTGAATATTTAGTGAATCACTTGGACGCTCGCAACATGGTAACTCTAGCTGTCACTGTCAGCGCCAACCATTCACTGCCAGCGACGGCGCAACGTAAGCAGAGGGAAAGTTCGTCGTCTTTGTTTCGTTTGTCGTCATTTGCGCCGAACGATTTTCAACGAGAGCCGAGCGTTGAGCACAGCGAAGGAGAAGCGAATTATCGAACTCAAATTTTTCAGTTGGATATTTTCTACGTTGGCGAGTAGTCGTGAGCAACAAAATTTAGTGAAAGAAGCAGCAGAAGCAGCAAAAGCAGAGTTTTTTTTTGGCTGGCTTGCTGCTCTGTGAGATTTTTCATCCATTTTTAACTGCCCACTCTGAGAACAAAAATAAATTCAGAAGATTCTTTCATAGATTTTGTGAAGCGGGAAACTTTAAAAACAGAGACCTAATCCGCAAGTGTTCTTTTTTTCATTATCATTTGTTTGGTACAATTTTATAAAGTGAGTGTAATTAAAGAGTGTATGAAGAAGTAGATAATGTGATGAAACCTTTTTATTAAATTATTGAATATAATATTTCTAAAAATCAAAGCTAAAAGATTGTATATAAATAGCTTTTAATATTTTTACTTTATTCGTAGAGAAATTAGTCTTCAATACCTTTATACTATAATTTGTATAATAAAAATATGGAATTTTATATCATGCGGTGGTAGTGCAAACTGTACAAGATTGTATGTAGCTGTGACCGCATGAATATTCGAAAAAAGTGATACAGAGAAAATATATTTGTTAACTGGTGGGTTGAATTGTGCTGTGTGTCGTTCGTGTGGCATACAGTGTGAGTGCCGTTGGCTCCAAGCCCCAAAAGCTCTGTGGCCATTGTTGGTCGTAGGATACTACTACAATGAACTATGAGTATGGAAATGTTTCGAAAATTTTGGAGCTGAATATAACAAATTTGTTTTGCAAAATGTTTTTATTCACAAAGTATCGATACATGTACATATTTATTTGCTTACGTACTCTTCTTCATACCCAGGGAGCAGTAGACACAAGTACGCATAAGCATACTCATGTAGTCAGCTGAATCAACAATTTTTGTTGGGGGGAGTGTGCAGTGTTTGGTCTGAACATTTCCACTCTTGATTACGTTGGCAATCTACACATATGTAGGTATCTATATTAATATGCATGTGTGTGCTTTAGCGCTCGGAGCAAATAAATTTGTTCGCACAAGAAACGAATGGTCGCTTTCCTGTGCTGTGATGTGAGCATTGCGCAGTAGCCGTAGCTACGAGTAGCAGTGGTGTAGCCAGCAGTATAAGTCAATTCACTCACAACTTCGCCCGGCTGCTTCTACTTTTGAAGTAAGAGCGACAAGGAGGGTGTGAGAGCGTTGACAACGTCGACTTCACCAACGACGTGTGTAATTCAAGCCAAAATTTCCCCTACCTTAATAGCAACAGCGAGTACAGTAGAGCGCATGTGAGCGAGTGAGACATGTGGATGTACTCGCGTCGGCAGTCAGTGTGTTGCTGACGTAAATATATGAGGGGTCGGGTGGTGATGGCAACTCAGCGCTGGTAAATTTAAGGCCTTATGAAATTTCACTTGGCGCTTTCAGGTTTTATAAAATGCATGCAAAGATATATACAAAAACAAATGCAAGCGACGAATAAAAAAAAACACTTATAAGGAAAAGCTTTATGCGGGTGGTACCGAATTTTTTTTACATATGCGGTTTGTTCTTATACACAAATACATATCTCTCAGATAAAAAATAAAAATATATATAAAATGATAAATATATGTATAATAAAAATAAATAACAAAAGTAAATAACAAAAAAATAAAAAAAAAATATCAAAAATAGATAAATAATCAAAAAATTATTAAAAAAAAAAATAAATAAATAATAAAAAATAAATATAAAAATAATAAAATAAATAACAAGAATAAAAAAAAATAAAAAAAAAAAATAAAAATTAAATAAAATAAAAAAAATAACAAAAATAAATATTAAATAAAATGAAAAAATAACAAAAATAAATATATAATCAAAAACTAATAAATAATAAAAAATAAATAATCAAAAAAAATATAAATAAATATTATAAAATATAAATAATTAAAAAAATAAAGAAATAAATAAATGAATAAATAAATAAAGAAATAAATAAATAAATAAAAATAAATAAATAAATAAAAATAAATAAATAAATAAAAATAAATAATAAAAAATAAATAATAAAAAAAAATAATAAAAAATAAATAAATAAATTTCAGGTGAACAAAGCTTATACACCTCTATTGTTGTTAGGGTTTGTTAAAAATAAATACAATACCAGCGCAATTGTAAGGCAGAGAAAATTGTTAGAAACAAATTTATTAATATATGTTTGTATGCAGGTTAATATTAGTAATAAGTAGTTTTATATGTTCAGCAACAGGGGCTTATCGCAACATGTAATAGTGGGGTACCTACTACTGAAACGTTTACTTACATCAATATAAATGTAAAATTAGGAAAAAAAAACTAAATATTAATCAATTTTATTTTTATTCTCATTACAGATTTACATTTGTAATAAAGTCGCCGCATACTTACATATATACGTGTATTGCTGAAATCGACGTAGTACAGCGCTACCAACAGAGGTAGCACCGCAGCAAATAATTTTTTACTTCCAAAAATTTTTTTTGGTTTATTTTAATTGATTTTTACCAGTGCCCAGCGACAACGACGTTTAACGCCGTTGTTGTAACGTCGGCCCGATGATGGCATTGCCAATGAACTCACTTTACTCCCTTACGTGGGGCGACTATGGTTCGTCACTAGTGACGGCCATTCAACTTTTGCGCTGTCACAACGACTTGGTGGACTGCACTTTAGCTGCCGGCGGGCGCAGTTTTCCAGCGCATAAAATCGTATTATGTGCGGCGTCACCGTTTCTATTGGAATTGTTAAAGGTAAGTTGTAATTTATTTTGAATGCACCAACAACACCTAAGGAGCTGTGTGCATATAAATTTTAGAAAATGCATTTTACTGAAAATTAACTCATACATAATGGAAGGCAAAAGAAATACTTAGAAAGGTGCATATGTATGCGTGAACCGCTCATAACCCCTGCTATTACAATCAGCTGTAAATAAACTTTCAAAATGGTCTTCTAATTAAATTGGTGAAAGTTTAGATTTTATGATATTGTTACATATTTACATTACTATATAATTTCAAAAATATTCACGAATTTTTAATTTAAAAAAACGCAGTTTTTAGCTCCTCAATATTTGCAATACTGAAAGTTTTTTAGTTCAGTAAAAAAGTGCTCTACTCAAAATCGGATCCAGTGTTTTGTCTCTGACTTATTTTTTACCTACAGCATTACTTAATACACATTATACATATATACCTGCATACCTGCATACAAAACATACATACATCTATACATATCTACAACTGCTGATCGCTGCGCTAATACACTCACGATTACTCGAACACATGGTACCGACGTCAATTCAAAAAGAAAACGTAAACAAAAAGCTCAATAAACATATCAACAGCGGTTTTGTTTGTAAACAGAGATACTTTTTCAAATGGGTTAATTCTAGGTGAATGTCTTTCAAATCTGCCGATTGGCATACATTTTAGGCCTCGAGTCTCAGTATGATGCGCGCCCTAAGAATCTCTCCTCTGCATGCTCAACTAAACTCCTAAAAACTCAGAGGTAATTGGCGCACGGACCACACTCACCCGCATAAGATACTTACACTCTACGCTCCGCTCTTCCACATACACTCTACTCTGCATTGTACATTTAAATTTTTTACTGCGACAGCAGAGATGATTTGTCCATTAGAGAAGGACTGACTACTGACATGGCCTCTGGTCTTGTTTACATCAAGCCGGCAAGATGATAACGAAGCGGCAGTGTGTGAGTTTGGAAATCTTTAGGTCGAAAGTATTCGATTTTTTGAAGTAGAGAATCTTCGTTGGTTTCATTTTTTTTACCCACGAAAATTTATGCACCAAAGAGACTGGCATAAACCGAATTACCAACCCAATTGTTTCCATTTAATATGGTTTGAAGAGTGCGATTGAGTTCACTGAGTGGCGACGGTGGCAGAGGAAACAGTCAGAGTGTCAATAGCGACAACGACGCTGTTGTTGTTGGAGATGAGTACCGCAGCATAGCAGCACTTTAATTTTCTACCACGCAGATTTTTAGAGATTTCTTTTAAATATTTCTATTAGTAATTGAGACGAATGAGGAAATATCTCCCTCTTGAAAGTGCTGTGTGCAGAGTGAAATGATTATTATGCCACCACGATTATTGCACACATTGCCTCTTGTTGAACAGGTTCAACGAGATTCACATTTAATATGCTCGCTTTCAATTTACACAGCTTGATTGTCTCGAATTTTGTTTCGCCACGAACTCGGCTCAGAGCGGCCGCAAGCATACTCGTACACACGAATTTTACCGGCAAGTGTGTCTTTTTTTTTTTGCTCCCTCAATAACAATTCATCGAATCAAAGACGCCCGCGAATTCACATATTTTTGGAAATAAAAATATATGTATAAAGAATGATTTGCAGTCTTTTCGTTAAAAATATGAATTTTACTTTATAAAATTTTACTATGGAAAATTTCTAAATTACAAAAAAAGAATATATATTCATATGCATATTTACTTCGTACGCAATTCAGCATTTAACATTTACATGGATATCTACAATAGTTGTTAGCGGCCAAAGTCATAAAAAAGTCACAAAATCGGAAAATGGTCACACAACGCGCTGTTTTTGTTTTTACCTGCATAAATAGCGAGTGGTAGAGTAGGTGAGTGAGCGAGAGCGGTGAGTGACCGCAATATTGAATGTAGTCATTTCCATGCAACGAATTGTAAGCGCCAGAGCGAGAGCACGAAAGAGTACATGCTGTTGTTTTGAGCTCTTGGATAGGAGCGGTGCATTGTACACTGCAGGGTAGTTGCCTATGACTGTACTGCGCATGTATCCTACTACAGCGGTGTGCTCTGTTGCTGCTGTGTCACGATGTTGTGCTTCACTACGCTCGGCCAATTTTGTTAAATGTTTCAACGCAACGAACACATTTTCTATATAATATGCTCCGAGTGCCTGTTCTGAAGGTAATTTCCCCTACCTTGTTGTACCCTGATATATGTAGATACTTGTGTATGTTTTTGAAAATTTACACACATACATACAGTGCATATATTTCTACTATTTGTGTTGTTTTCTCACATGCAGCGTTTTTTTGTAGCCACCCTTCTTTGTGGCTTTCGCATATTATTTCAAATCAATATTTTTCATTTTTTGTATTATATTCATATGTACATACATATAAAATATACTTACATTTTGTATAATCAAAATTAAAAATTTAATGAGTTCAATCTACGAGAAAAATTTATCGGAAAACGATAACGTCCTATGTGGAATTCACACTATTGTATTTATAAGTTTAGTTATTTATTATTTTATTTTTTCATAATTTTTTTTTTTTATAATTTTTAATTCTTTTTATTTTTTAATTTTTTTATTTTTTTAATATTTTTTTAATATTCTTTTAATTTTTAAAAATTTTAAAAAATTTTTATTTTTTATTTTTTTTATTTTATTTTTTTTTTTTTAGTTTGTTATGTTAACTTTTTTTTTTCTAATTTTCAATATATTGTGAGATTTTTTGAAATTTTTTTTATATAATATTTCCATTGAACAGAAATACGAATATTATAGATCATTAACTATTTTAACAAAATAATCAAATAAACAAAACCATCAAGTATATGTATGAATGTCGCTTTCCGACATAAAGCGTTCGATAAGCGCTCGCTAAGAATCTGATAAAACAGCAGCTTCCTGCAGCAAGTGACTAGCACGTTCTGTCGCTTAATTATATAGAGATTTATACCTACATGCAATAGTGATGCCCCACCAAATATACAGATTATTGCACTCTTTACTGTTGCTGAGCGTTAAAAAATGTTGCTTATAATTGCTAGTAAAGTAGGGAAGATGAGGGAGAAATATGTAGTATCAAACCAATTTATAAACGTTTGCATCTTCTCCCATCATATACTGTTCTTTCAACCCTCTCCGATAAATTTCCCCATACTAGGCATGCTCTGAGAATAACATAAAAAGACATTTCTTGGTTTAGTTGTGCTCGTTTTTGTTTGTATTTATGACTCGCTCAACTTTCTCTATTGAGAGATTAAATGTATAGTAATTATCAGGTCAGGACAATATGAAAATTCACCAAACAATTGTTCAACTATTCCTCATATTGGAATTGTAACTTTGTAAACAGAGCGTAAAACCAGCGCCATATAAGCTTTAGTGAAAGACGCGGCTTAAATAGGTAAATTATCAAATGTAAACATAAGTAAAAAACATAATTGAAATAAAATGTGCTTTAAAATACAAATTAAAGATTTTGATAAAAACATCTAAATAACTTGAACTGATCCCTTACCAAAAATTAATTAAAGATTTTACGTTTAAAAAATCGAACTTTCTCGTTCATCGATATATCCGTCTCATTCGTTTCATTAAAATTTCATCAAAAATTTTTTATAATTTTGCTCTAGTTCAGTTTTAATTTGTAAAACAAGAAAAAAAAAATACAAATAAATATAAAAAAATGGAAAAAATATTAAAATATTAAAAACTATAATAAACTATAAAAATATATATAAAAATATAAATAAAAATATCAAAAAGTATAAAAAAATATAAATAAAAATATAAAAAAATATAAATAAAAATATAAAAANAAATATATAAAAAATATAAAAAATATAAAAAAATATAAAAAAAATATAAAAAATATAAGAAAAATTTGAAAAAAGCTTTCAAAATAATATGAAAAAATATAAAACGATATTAAAAAATTTTAAAATGAAAATATGAAAAATATATGAAATATATATTTATGTATATACATATACATATATAACACAATCTGATTCGTTTAGTTAAGCTTAGTAACAAATAACGAATCTCTTTTATGTTAAATGTGTGAAAGTAGGCAAACATTACAATGAGCGTTGCGCTCGTTAAGTTGTTGAAATTCTCCACCAAGAAACAAGCTTCCGCTCCGCATGCCATTATGGCAAATTTAAAATTTTTTTACTCGGAGCGTTTGCTGATGTCAGCTACAATAAAAATACTCGCTCGGCTATACTCGTAGCAGGAACATCGAACATAACTGAAAAAATATGATGGTATAGCAGGGAAGATAGCGCGCTGCTAACACATAAAATAGATACTTTTGAGCACGCAAAGTTGAAATGAAATTTATTCTTTGATGGCTGCCTGCATGCCTGAGGGTAGAGAAAACGAGTTTTGGTCTGTCAAAGTGTGTACTTTGATTATAGCGCGTACAAGAGCATGAAGAGCATGATTAAACGAAGTAGCGGGCGGTGGTTTGCGCAGATGTAGAGATACACATTGCTGTACAGTGAGCTAAAATGGACTAGTCACTGAAGCGATGAGACCTGTGATTTGGCCAATTCGTGTAGCATTTTCTCTGTTTACGTTTATATTGTAATTCAACTATTTTAACTTTTCTTTCAGCTCGTAGCTTGCAGCTCACATTCTTTAGAATATTAACCATCACCCATCTCATATCTCTCATATCCTCTCTGAATATGTGTTTTTCTAACTTTTTTGTTTCTTTGTTTGTTTTTGTCTCTCTTCTCTATAGAATACACCATGCAAGCATCCGGTGGTTATGTTGGCCGGCGTAAATGCCAACGACCTGGAAGCGTTGTTGGAGTTTGTTTATCGCGGCGAAGTGAGTGTTGATCACGCACAATTACCGTCGCTATTGCAGGCCGCACAATGTCTAAATATACAGGGGCTGGCACCGCAAACCGTTACAAAAGATGACTACACCACTCATTCGATACAACTACAGCATATGATACCACAACAACACCATGTAAGTTTGTGAACGTTTACCTCTAAGTAGACTTGAATGGCTTGAAAATTTATTTATTTATTTATTTGTAAATAAACGTTACGAATTTCAGGACCAGGACCCATTGATTGCCACCATTGCTACTGCACCACAACAGACCGTACATGCACATGTTGTCGAGGATATCCATCAAGCTGGCCAAATTTTGCAAACAACCAATGCAGCAGGACAGCAACAAACCATTGTGACCGCTGATTCGCCCAAGGATGTTATTCAACAATTTTTGCCCGCACGCAAGCGCAAGCCACGTGTCAAGAAGATGTCGCGTAAGTGTGCCTTTGTAATAATAACAATGCAACTGTAAATAAAAAATTTTCTATTTGTTTTATTCGACTTTATAGCTACCGCTGCCAAAGTGGCTAAAGTTGATGGCATGGAAACGATTATTAGTGCACCAACCACCACTACCGTTGTACATCAGAATGCACAACAACAGCAACAACAACAACAACAGCAACAACAACAACAATTGCAGGCACAACAACAAGGCATTGAAAATGGCAACGAGACGCAAATAATAACATCGACACCGCACATTAAGACCGAAGTGACCAAGGTGGAGACAATTGTGACCATGGATCCGAATATAACACCGATATCGACGGCCAATACAAGCGAAGTGAGTGCCGGCGGCACGACACCAGCAAGCGGCAACAAGCCAGTCAAACGCACCAAGAGTGGTGAGTAACTTTTATGAATGAATTCAAATTTCGTAAACTAGTGATTAGGCCAAAGAATTTTATGTAAAAAAAACTGTTTTCTTACTCTTGCCAATGGCATTTTCATTACTTTCTAATTGTAGAATCCCGTTCACGCTCACAATCGGAACAACCGGCTACTTGTCCCATTTGCTATGCAGTCATCCGTCAATCACGTAACTTGCGTCGTCACTTGGAATTACGGCATTTCGCTAAGCCCGGCGTTAAAAAGGAAAAGAAAAGTAAGTCTGGTGCAAATGACACACAGGAATTAAACACAACGGCAGAGGCAGGCAACGTTTTAGCGACAAACGTAGATGAGTTAACAGCGACGGCGGCAAGCGAACAAAGCTACCAGACCGTTGCTGGAAATGTCACTACGGCTACAACGTCAAATGCACCTATTATCGTTACGCATGCGAACAATGCGGGCGTTGCGACCGTTACGCATATGACCACACTCAAGCAGGAGCCAACGAATGCGTCGGCTGCCGGCGATAATGGTACTAATTTACATAATGTTATACATTTTGTAAACGAGGAGGTGTTTGGGTCATAAAAAAAAAAAAAAAAAAAAACAAGCAAATTGATAATGATTTGGTAGTATATATATATGCAAATACAAAAACTAATATAAAGTTATAGGTATTAGCTGTTTTTTATGTTTTTAGTAATTTTGGGTCATCATTAAGTTTTGTAAAAAGGAATAATAGTTTATTATATAAACAATAATTAAGCATTCCCCAAGTTTTCCATTACACTAATAAGAATGCAACATTAGCGTGCACTCAGCGTAAAGCAAAATCGAATAGTTAGTCATAAAGACGTGGTACCGTTAAGTTTAAAAGCTTTCAAATGGAATAAATACATAATTGCTCAAAGATATTTTTAACAAATGGAATGTAGTCAATATGCAGTATTTTCTAACATAACAACAAAACAACAAATAGCAATAAAAAGTTCAATCTAGCGCTCTGTTTCCTTAACAGCCTTATTTTCTTGTATGAAAACCAATTTTATTACTTTTATTCAAGTTTTTTTATGATTTGCTGTTCGTTTTTATAACTTAAGAGATTTAATTTACATATACAAAATTTTCTTTTATTAAATATAAAATCAGATTTTTCCAAAATATATTATACGTAGGGATTTGATTTGAATAAAGCGTAAATAATTGTTGAAGAAAAACCGAATATTAAGCTCTGAGTTTATTTTTTTATTATTAATTTTATTTTGATTCTGTAGTTAGATTTTTTCAGTTAAATTCAACGTTGCTCTCGAGGAAATGTGCGTTTTGGACTTTTTGTTGTTGACATACAGAGAAAATACTTGCATTTGTTTGCTTTTGCGCCAAAAAAAAATCCCATAGATAGCTAGGAAATAGAATTATTCATCTAACGATAAAAAAAACAAATTCCTTTGAAATTGAAATACGTATATACAAAACGTAAGTACGTTAATTGTATGGTTACGTTGAAACGAAAAGAGACTTTTTGTTTTTGAGCATAAATTCTGCAATTCAGACTGTTTTGCCATAAAATTCAGTTTAAAAACGATGATATAATTGATACTACCAAGCTTATAATTTGTGTGCACCCGCTGTTGTCTCTCCCTGCCGTTTCCATCCTATCGTGTCACTTTCTTATACATGACCTCGAGAGCATAATAATTTCCAAAAAAAAAAAAAAATTTCCCTCTCCGCCCCAATTTAGCACCAACAGGCAAAAAAGTCGCCACCACAAGCACCGGCGGCGCAGGCACCAGCAATGCAGCAGGCACATCTACGATCACCACAGCCGTTAGCACTATACCACAAGTACAATCGGTACAATCGCTACACACGCTACATACGGTACAGGTAAAGAAGGATCCGGATGCACAGAATCAGGCACAACAAACCATGACTGTGACCACTACAGCGAGTTCTGGTGCGGGACAACAACAACAGCAGCAACAGCAACAGCAAGTGCAACAAGTACAGGTGCAGCAGGCAACCACGCAACAACAACAACAGCAAATACAACATCATCAAATAATCGATCAATCGGGTAATATAACAACGGCCACAACAACGGCGGGTGGCCAACAACAGCAGCAACAACAAACGGGCGGACAAATTGTAACGCAAACAGAGAATACAGACGGCACCACATCGTTGTCAATAGCACAGGTGCAAACGCTGCAGGGCCATCAGATATTGGGCAATATTAATCAGGTGAATATGAATGAATTTCAAACGCATTCACAGTTGTAAGATGGTTGGATGGATAGATTGAAAGAAGGAAGGAAGTAAGGAAGTATGGAAGGATGATGATTATGATGATGAAGCTAACGCGGAAATGTGCGCAAAACAGAGACAAAGTTAAAAGCAGTGGGGCTTTAAAAATGCATAGAACATTATTTTTACAAATACAAAATATTTTCTACCATAAACCAAAGCTGCTAAACCAAACGGTGTGCTCTGATGATAATACTTTAAATGAAAAATGTAAAAAGTAAACAGAACAGACACTAGTCTTCCTAAATAAAGTAGAATTTCAACATAATACAGCTAGAAAAATATAAATAAAAATCCAACACGCCAAAATCCAAAACAAAAAATCAACATATTAACTAGCAAACTTCAAGGTTTAGTTAATTGTACTACATTTCGAAGTACTTACATAAATAATTAGCATATTGGTTTGTTTTACCCTAAGCTGTTGCAACTTCTGCGTATATATTTAACAAAAAAAAAAAAAAAATATTTTTGTGTATAAAAATGTCTATATAAACAAGCAAAAAAAAAAAAAAAAATGTTTTTGCTCAAAAAATATTTGTAGAAACAATGTAAATGTAATTACAAATTATTGCACTTTCCACCAATTTTTTTGCTGCCTTAGTTTCCTGTGCTATTATTATATTATTGCGTGCTGCATTAAAATAACTTTAAATGTTATATAATTCAATACTTTGTACGTATGTATGTACATACTTCGTTTTCGCTACGGTAAAAGCTGTTTACAACTATCTGAACTGACTCTTTGAAACTGATTACGGCAGTCGGTAAAGGAAGCTCCTGCGATTTGCAAATATTTCAACTTCGAAAACATTCATTATAACATACAATTCTGCTCAAAGAGTTACAGAAAATAAGGACACTAGAATATACAAAAGTAAAAAAAATACTGTTTTCCAATTTTAATAATATAAAAGTCTCTAGTTAATAACGAATGAAGTTTTTTTTGCCCAAGCTCTTTGAAATATTTCACCAAAAGCGTTTAACAGCTTTTACCCTGGTAACGGCGATATATGTATATATGTATTTACCTTTAAAACTTTGATTTGACAACACAAATTTTATCTGCCTTAACACTTACTATATAAATTTAATTTCAATTTTACAAATTTATTTTGTGTATGTAAAATATACATACTTTTATTAAATTAAATGGTTGTAAGTAGACTTAAGTTGGTACTAGGTACTGCAAACAAAATATTTTTTTTTATAAAAATACCAAAAAAAAAAATCTATTTCCTTCAACAGAATTAGTTTTCAAAAAAAAAAAAAAAAAAAAAAAAAAATTATGTTTATATTTTCGTAGAAGGCTTTCAGCAAATTTCTTTAATTTCCCACTATCCACTTACCACATATTTACATTTAATTAATTAATTAGTTTTTATTTATTGCAACAATGTATAACGGTTGCTTACTTAAAGTTTACTTATTATTATACTTTTTATTATGGTTCAAAAGTTAAAAATGGTTTAGTACACACATAACACTTACATTTAAATTAGAGATTTAAAAGAAAAAACAAAGAAATACATTTACATATATTACTTACTTTGTTAAAACTAGTTAATAAGTATATTAAAAAAAATAAATTAACTGACGTTTAAAGTTCTTAGAGCTGTGCAAAATTTGTGTATTTGGCAAGCTAACTCACCTCACCACGCAGGGTTATCACGGAATCTCGCGATTTATTTAATTGAAAAATCAAATCGTTAACTGGACAGTAATTTTTTTTTATTGACACTTTTTTTTTTGGGTATAAATTTAATAAAAAATCCTGATTTTTGATTCAAAAGTAATACATAAAAGTTTATAAAAAATTTTTACACGCAGAATTTAGAAAAACTGGAGAATTTTTATATCGTTTATAATTTTTTTTTATATATAAATTTTCCTTCCACTCTTATTCTACACGTCTCAATTGCTTATTAATAACATGAAATGCCTTAAACACATGCAAAAAAGAAGGACAAATAGAAAAAATTTTGCGCAGCTCAAAAAACTACAAATTACAGATAAAGAGTTACTATCACATATGTATTTATGTACATATATTTATCCTAATTTCTTTTTTATAATTTTGTTGACTTAGTCATTCGCTTGCTGTAAATCTTATATTGATTTCCTTGTTTAGTTAGCGAATTTTGAATTAAAAAATAATAAAAGAAGAAATTTTTGAAAAAAAAACCCAAAAAAAGAACTACTAATAATTTTGGTTTAATTTAAAATTTTGTTTGTATTGAATGAAACCCTGCCAAATCCCTTTACGTTTTATTTTATTATAAGTTCTACTTCTTCTTCATCTTCTTTATTAGTGTGTATGTATGGGTTTTACTACAGTAATTCTTAGTATTGTTTTTAATTATGTACGTAAGTATATGTATTTGTATACATTGCTTTCTCCCTTCTGGTTTCCTTCGGTTTCCTTCTATTTGGCTTATATATGTATGTATGTATTTTTGGCGGCGTTGGTTTTCTTTTTCATTTGATTTTTTTTAACTCCAAATGTACGAATGTTTATTTACCTTTAATGCTTGGAAGTTTTTTGCTTGTTATATATATTTGTATGTCGCATGCATTTTTATTTTATTCACAACTTTCGTGTGCTTTCATAAACTTGTTCTTTTTAAATATATGTATGTATGAGGTTGTGCAGCTGCGGGGATTGCATTAAATGAAATTCATCTGCAAAAAATTAGTAAAAAAAATTCACTTTACTTAAAAATATCGTTTTTGAAATATACAGTTTGGAACCGAGTCAATTATAAATATTCGGTTTGAGAAATGAGTATTAATTAAAATATGTCAGAAAATATACTCTGGAATCTAGGAAACCATATTTTATAGCAATTAGTATTCAAAGGTTTTGTAGTAAAGTTAAAAAGTATTTCGGGAAATACCTCATGCACCAAAGACCTCTAAGTGGCTTTACTTTCCGTAATGTCTTAACTATAATGAAGATTACAGAATTTTCGTTATTAACTAAGTTGGAAAGTTAGATGCAAAAGTACCAGTTGAGAGTACTCTTTCGCACTCCAAGATATGAAACAAAATGAATATGCTTGATTCCACTCTTCATCGGGTCTCTCCTTCCATTCGGACTGACTAAAAGCTGGAAATTCGAAAAATACATATAAAAACATTTTAAAATATACGTGAAAAGAATATTTGAGCTAAGGTTAATACCGTTCGGCAAGCGCCTGCTAAATTATGAAGCAAACGCTCAGGGTTTGGGAGCCTGCCGTCATGTGTTCGCAGTTACTATCCGATCTCGGGATTATATTGCTTCGCTAATAGAGTTATTACAAAATATATGGTATTTTGAAATCAATAAGAGCTTAGAGTTCGCTTGATGCACACCCGAGAAGAACAATTTAGATCTGCCCTAATCGCTTAATTTCCCAACAACGATATTGAAACATGACTATAATTTTCTTTTCTAGTAAGAACTATCCATGCTATGTCCATTTTTTATTCGTTTGTAATTCTCACCAAAATTGTTCAATATGTCAAAATTGTAATATTTTATATTCAAATGTATTTACTAAGTAACGATCCCAAACAGAACGAGAGCATACGCAGTGAGTTCCAGGCCACAAGAGCATTGTGGACAACGAAGTAGCCAAAACACGCATGAGTCTGGCGATCGAAATAACTTGATGACAAAGAAACCCATTAAAATTAAAGACTTTGTATAATAAATTTTCCAAGGAGCTCGAAGAGGGCTGATAGTAAGAAGGAATGAGTTAATGGCATGTAAGACCCTCAGCCGCAATGACAGTGAACGAACCACTGTATGTTTATGTGTTCTCTCGAGACAGTGGTAAGACGAATGACAGCCCATAAGCTGTTGGTACGCACGGACGAAAAGTTGACATCCGTAGGAGTGACTCATATAGCTAGTGTAGGAAAGCAAGTATAAGTGAGATATGTGAAAACCTGCTCTGTTTCTGTACGGTCTAATCTGGAAATGTATTGTGGTTTAAACGACTAGAGGAAGCTTCAAAGTTCTATAACCGGTATTTCTTGAACTTTGCAAAAAGCGTTAACGTCTTAGTAGACAACTTATTGACAATAGACCAAGAGGTCTAAATAAGGCGTTACAGCCAGCCATTATAACCTAACCTAATCCAATTGAGTATGTCATAATTTTTAGTTGAAAAAATAGTGATTTCGAACTAACAAAAAAATCAACAATAAATAAGAAAAAAGGATTTTATTTTCGTTACTTAAACCCCAAAATAGAAAAGAATTCTGAAGTTTTCAGAAGAACGTATTCGTAACTCAGCCATTGTGACGAAATTTCCGATGAAACCTCGGGGGAACGGTGCGTTTGCATTGACAGCAGAAGTCATGACATAAACTAGAATTCGGACGAAGGTGTGACCGCTTTCCGTAAAATTTTTTTATATGGATGTTGGTCTTGTCAGAGTTCGAACTCGTGATCATCCGACTCGTTATAGGCACATTTTTATGTTGGCTACTTCATATTTGGCTCTCCATCGATCTTTTGACTAACTAAATATTTAAAATATATATACATATGTATGTATGTAATTATTTATAAAATTTATTATGAAAATATTTACCATACAAATATTTGTTTTAAATAATATATTAAAAACTCATATACATATACATACATATGTACTCCATTATTAAAAATACGGTGACTAATTATTGCATATGTATGTATGTACTTCTCATCCGAATTTAACAACATACTCATTAACTTTTCAATTTATTCTTGTCTTCTCTTTCTTTTTTTTTTAATATTTCATTATGGCTGCCTCGTGACTCACAAAAAACTTAACCAAAATCGAAAAAAAAAACAATCAAATAATTAAATTACATGTTTGCATTCAACCATATCTAACAATCAACAACAAAAAACAACAAAAAACAACAATAATAAATTAAACCAATCACAAAATTGAATTGATAATTATATATGTAGGGTAACAATAAGAACATTTTGGTAAAGAAAGTTTTCATTTTGAAAGGCGGTAATAATACGTAATGATGAGCCAACGATATGATCAGCGGTAGTGGAGGGGGAGGCGGGGGGATAGGCGTCATAGGCGGTAGCAGTAGTGGTGGCGGCGGCAGCGGCGCAGCGAACACCGGCAGCACCAGCAATAGCAACAACATCAGCGGTACTGTAGTGAGCGCAACACGTCTCAGCCGTGGACAGGCAACGCACCAACAGCAGCAACACCACCAATCCCGTCAGCAGCATAGTAGCGGTTCAAGCGGCCTAGCCGCCATCGCTGCGGCTGCAACTGGCGCCCAACCGATCGCATCCGGTAGCGGCACAACACATCGTACGCGTATTCTGCGCGGTCATGCAGCACAGACCACCACTGGTGAGCGCGTGCTGCTCATAAATTATGTGTCGCCCAGTGCATCGACAGCCCAAACGCCCAATACCCAAGCGCACACAGTGAGCACCGTCGCCGCCAGCAGTGGTGCTGGTGGTGGTGTTGCCACTACAACAGCTACGCGCAAAATCCTCCATGCCAGAACGGCGGCTGCGACGCATGCCAATGTTAGCACCGCCACGCCCGTTTCGTTCGCCGGCCTCGGCTCTGAGGTGACGGTGACATTGACGCGTTCTGGTAAATCGACCGCCGGTCATATTGTACGTAATCATAGTATTGCCACGGAAACTGTGGATCAACAACAACAACAACAACAGCAGCAGCATCATCAGCAGCAACAACAACAGCAACAGCAACATCATCATCATCATGTGAGCAGCAGTTCGCCGCCACCGCTTGTCTTCACGACGACGGCACACAGTGAATTGCATCATCATCATCATCAGCACCAGCAGCACCAGCAGCAGCAGCAGCAACAGCAGCATCATCAACACCAACATCAACAACAGCAGCAACAACAACAGCACGAAATAATTGAACAGCAACAGACACATCAACATCATCAGCTATTGACGCATCGACAATTGCAGCAACAACAACAACAACAGCAGCAGCAACAGCAAACGACAACAACAACGGTGCTAGATCCTTTAGATTTACAAGATCAAGACGAATATCAACAGCAACAACATCAACAAATCGTTATTGAGCATCACAGCGGCAACGGGCAGTCACAGCAGCAACAGACGCACGAAGAAGAGCTGCTCGAGTATGAGGACGAAGAAGAGGTGGAAGAGCATCACCTGCAACAGCTGCAGGAGGTGCAGGATCAGCAGGAGTGCGACGGCGAGCAAGTCGAAGAGGTTTATCTGAACTGAGAGCAAGGACGCTGGGAGCTGAGAGGCTGTGGAGACTGTGGGGACTGTCGTCCATTGCGGTGAAGAGTTGGGGCGAAATGTCACAGACAGCGTCTCTAGGCGTGAGCTTAGAATGTATTCAAAATTAACTTAAATGCCGCAGATCATGTCGTCAAACTATATTGGAAATATCCTGCAAAAGCTAAAAATTATAAAATCTTTAAATCGAAAATCTAAAAAAGAAATCATTTGCTTATTGTAAATAATTATTATTAACATTTTATAACTGCAAAGGGTTAAATCGGTTTTCCAAAGTTCGCTAGTATAGATCCCATGTTAAAGGGATCATTTTTTTTTGTAAAATAGAAGTTTATTAAAATTTATTATTCATAAACATTAATTCACATTTTTTTGACTTTTTTTTAATAAATTTGTAAAAAAAACACTTAAACAATATGAAAACTTACTTATCAACATCTGTAAAAAAAGTAACACCAGCAAAACATAAAACGCTAATAGATGAGACTTTGGATTTCCCACAAATTATAAATTCATACATACATACGTTCATATACAAAATATTATAGAGAAAATTCTTTATGTAAAAAATTGTAAAAATATGAAATGCAATTAAAAAACATTTAAGCGAAATTTTAAACGAAAACATGCATATATAAATCATAATAATGTAGAAAATAAGTTAATTTAGAAATACAACAAAAACTATTTGTATAAAGTCACAATTTAATTCAAATAAAAATTGTAGAATAAAAATTTTCGTAAATAAATAAATTCTGTAAATTATCATTATATTACGAAATTTTATGAATAAATATTATTAAAATTTTAAGCTGTAATTTTTGCGATAGAAACTTTTTAAAACGTAGCGGTAATGCAGATTTAAGAGATCTTTAAGATATTAAAGAAAGCGTTAAATATATTTGAAATATATAAATAAATTTAAGATACTTTAATTGCCAGTGAGTTGTGCGAATCTTAATTAAATATAGTAGATATTTATAGAAAAAAAACTCCACACTACAGAAAATTAAAAATACAATAGAATAAATCTTACTTAAAATAAGTCTAGAGGTAAAAACAAAAATAATTTAAATATAAAATAAAATAAAGTAAAATTAAAAAACAATAACATAAAATATAATAACTTAAAATAAAATAAAATAAAATAAAATAAAATAACTACAATTAAATAAAATACAAAAGTGTATGTAATTAAAAAAATAAGTAAATTAAGTACGCAATATTTTTGAAGAATTTTCTAAATAACTGTTGTGCAATGTACGCCTCCATAATTCAAGTATTTGTAACGTGAATTTAAAATCTTTACGTTTGAAATTGAATTTGAAAAAGCAATGACACTTTTTGGTTTTTGCATTTATATTTTAATTTTTTAAATACTTTTTAATATTTTTTCATATTATATATATTTTGTTTGTTTGACCTATTTTTTTTTAACTTTTCTATAAAAAGAATATTAACAGAATTTAAACTTAATTTGTAAAATCATTTCTCCTTACATATATACGAAAATTTTTCAATTCGTTTTTGATATAAAACAGGAATAATTTAATATTTACAAAATAGTTTATAAATAGCATATTTATATGTAAGTATGTATTTCCACTCTTAGGGTGCATTAAAAAAATAAATAAATTGTAAATTCTTAAGCGACTAGGTCTATTACGATTATATATTTATATATACTAACTTACTTACTAGTACTATACATATATTATATTATTGATCTTGTAAAATCTCTGTAATAAAACGCAAGACCAGTGTCAGTTGTAGTGTTTCATTAAACTCATTGAAAATGATTTATCATTAGTATATATATAAAAATATATATATATATATCCACATTAGTTTACATCTATATAAATTTATACACGCGCCTAGCAAGGCATGTAGCGAAAAAACACATATTTACAAATATTTATATTTATAATTAATATATATATATATATGTAATTAGTACGGAAGTTATATATTTATGTTAAATTTTAAACGGATAAAAACATTTATATTGCGTATAATAATATATTTATGTATTTAAAAGAAGCGTTCTTTTCAACTTACTTTCTCTCATGTAAGTTTCAGTGCAAATAATCTTTGAAAGTCTGTACATTTAACGAAAATATTTGAATTAAAAAGAAAACGCATTAAAAAAGTTTCATTTACATATAAAAAAATAAAATAGGGTTAATGTTTATTATGTATATATATAATAATAAAAAAGTAAATATATTGAAACTGAGAAAAAAATTATTAAAATTTTACTTAGAAACTTTGGAATCAAGGACATACAAATTCTGCTCTGAAGGAGCATTTAAGAAAGGAACTGCTTAACTATTTATAAATTACTGTTAAAACTGAGCGCTACTTATAACTCACTAATTTATACCCGTTTTGCTGCCCTTACGTGAAATTCGGAGTACAAAATTTTTTAAAACATTTTGAGATGGAATAATAATGGTCAACTATTACAACATTACATTATAAGAAGATTACTCTTGATATTTAAGACCAACGCGATGTGAAGTATGTGGGAGTTATGGAGTTATGTAGAATATATAGACAGCAACGCCTAAAAGTATGCTTAGAATTTTGATGACCAAGCAGCATTATGCATAAGCGAATTTCTCTTATATTCAATTTTGTTGAAAATCTCCTTTACACCTCTATCTTGTGTGCTTCCCGAGCCAAAATAAAAGAAATCATGTTCCAAATACACCAAAATACTGTTAGAAATACCCACTCGCTACCAAATAAATCGAATGGAAATGCGAAGGCAGCAGCTCAGGATAAACATTTCCTCGTATACCACAATGCAAATGCAGCAGATGTTTAGAAATTTAATCAATATAAATCAAGTAGCTCAAATCTGGAATTATATCGTATTTGCAACATGAACGTAGAAATATATATGTATGTAAATTTGCATTTCTTTATAATACAAAAAATCATAAAACAAAAATGAACAAAACAATCAGGAAATGAAACCGAAAATTTCTATGTAAATTCGAGTAACCGGAAAACCGCTGCTTATGGCGGAACGAAAATTGAGTTGCAAACAAAAGAAAAGAAAAGGATGCGAGAAAACTAACATAATACATATTGCAGACCAGAAGAAGCAAACGAAGCGCATATATAATGTCAAAGACATTTGCCAATGGGCAAACGCAATGCGGTGAGATTTCGTTAAGGATATGTGGCGTTATTTTAGTGTCAAAGCTGCAAATAGCTGAAGGAGACAATGCGCGTGAGTACACAGCTGTGGAAGAAGAAAATAAATAAACGCAAATGTTTGCACCCACCACACGAGTATGGAAACAACCACTATTATATATAGCATATAGCACGAATATTATATACATATGTAATTCTTTAAGATAAGCAAAGAAGCCAAACAAAGTATGTGAACCATAAAATAAATGAAAGTGGAAAATCCGACTGAAATGGTAAACGAAAGAAAAAAAAAACCAGAAAAGACTGAAGTCAATTTTAACAAAGGTTATTTAAGGTTAGGTTGGGTTGAGCTCATCCACCGCTCGGGGAGTCTCGCAAAGATGTAAGCTTTGTGCCTCGACATTTCTTGCCTTGCGTCTCTGATTTAAGGAAAATTATTGGGATTTTAGGAAAAACATTTGGGTAAAGAGCCAATCCTTTGCCGATTGAAGGTCCTGCAGCTTTTCCTAATCAAGCGAGATCAACCTTTGTCTGCCGCATACTCACAACTTACCTCCGCTTACTCGAACAGATCTAATTTGTGGGTATGTGGCACAAACAGGCGCTGTTCTGCAGCCAGAAGTGTGACAACATAGTCTGCCTTTCAGGATAAGTTGTCGTGTTTTCTGTAGCTCTACAACATACTATAGCCCTGAAGAAAAGTACAACTGGGCGAAGATGGGTAAAACATTCTAGGCCATTGTTGAGACGCCGGCCATAGAGTTATAGTCTAAAGTGACATGATTAATAATAACCTCGTGCCAGAATAAAAGGATGCTAGTGTGGACGATTCTTGGTTCCAACAAAACCATTGAAGAGCGCATTATCTCTTGTTGTGCGCCTGTGACGCGGCCTCCAATATCGTGCAATTTAACACCGCTAGACTATTTTTTGTGCGATTATATAAATTTGGTTGCCTACGCATATAAGCTTGAGACGATTGATACATTAAAAGATAATATTCGGCGCATTATATACAGGGTCAATTGTAGCAGAAAAGTGGTCGAAAATTTAGCATCTCGGAAGGAACTTATTCGAGCCAATTGTCCGAAATAAATTTTAAAACATAACAGGAAGTCTTAATCTTTATAATAAAGCTTAATTTTTGCCATAACATTGAATAATACTGATTTTACTTCTAAAAAAACCACATGGCAAAAGAATCACTCTTACATAGAGCTCAGCTTTCGGCTGTTCTATCTGTCTCTCTAGTTGCGCATAAATTTATACACATTATATTATTTTACTGCCATATCTTAGTCCAAAAATTTTCATTCCGAAATTTGAGACCTATTCTAGCGACGCTCACAAATCTCATTACATCTCAATTGTCGGGGATATAGTGCCTGAAAATATGCAGCACTTTTACTGCTCAATTAAAAAAAAAAACCGGCTTAATTTAAAAGATTGACTAGCTATTTGCGATTATTTGATTTCCGTTGATGATATAAAGAAACCTATGTTACGAAAACTCCAATTAAACATACATACATATGCACTGAGCCAATATTTGAAGTTACCTGCAAACACCGACACCTGCCTCAGCGCGTCCATCCTTGCAGGGAAAAAATTCAAATTTTGTGTATTGTAAATAACAACACCGGAAGTGTAATCCCATAACGGATGCCTGCTCGTCGTCATTCAATCCAAGCGAAACGACACACAATCAACAGGCAAACGGACAGTCAACAGCGAATCAGTCTCTGCCTACTGGTTGATGGCAAATGTATATTTGTATGTAGATATATTTGGTGTTGGGCAAACATGATTTG